GCATCCGCGTGCCGGCAAATCCACCTCATTTTTATTCAATAAAACGACCCAAACAATGCTCGCACTTCCCGTGTGTTTCCAAAGCTTCACGATTTCCCCAAGGCGTGGATAAAAGTAATTTGATTCAAATCTCAGGATTTGACATTTAACTTCACCCGGCCATTATCGGTAAAAGCACTGTACCATTCATTTCAATCTGATAAGGCTTTCGATAGGTATGTAAGAACGAACAGTTAGTCTTTTTTTCCCATATCACTGATGGATCTTTTTTTTTTTGGCTGAAAACGGCGATAAACTGCCAAAAACGTCGATTTAACCTTTCAAAACTTGTCACAAACCCACAAAAGAGATACAACAAAACCCAATCAAACTCACACAAATGTGTGTATTGCTTGCAATTGGGGACCTTCTCTTGTCCCGCTTTTGTTTGTACTTTTTAGGAAGACCTCCCATGTGTTTTGTATACGAATCCAAATTGGGGACCCTATTGTCCTCTGTTGTTCAATGTCCCCTATTGAATGCAGAAACAACTCAATCCAACCCAACCCAACACAACCCAACTCAACCCACACAACCCAACCCGACCCACACAACCCAACCCAACACAACCCAACTCAACCCAACCCAACCCAACACAACCCAACTCAACCCACACAACCCAACCCGACCCAACGCTACCCAACACAATCCAACTCAACACAATCCAACTCAACCCACACAACCCAACCCGACCCAACGCTACCCAACCCAACACAACCCAACTCAACCCACACAACCCAACCCGACCCAACGCTACCCAACCCAACACAACCCAACACAACCCAACTCAACCCACACAACCCAACCCGACCCAACGCTACCCAACACAATCCAACTCAACACAATCTAACCTTAACTAACTATACCACACGTACTGTGAATATCTATATACGCATTGTAAATTATACGGTCACCGCTACATTCCTCCAAGTATTGATTTGCCCAATTTGGCACAAACGTGAATTGCCTAGAATGACATCACTCAAATATTTAAATTTAACAGCGGAGTGTCGCTCTAATTCAGTTATACATTTTCTCCATTCCCAAGACACGCTGGACGGAGTCTAACTGGGTTAACAGGCCGAACGCGTCAGAATATAGCAGTAATTTGCCCGCAAAAGTGGAACCGGCTCGTTTGACGTCTAATCGAATAGACCAATTTAAAAATCCGCGCGTTGCAAATACGCTACAGTTACGGGGAAGTCCGACAACAAAAACAACTTAAGCTTTCTGGTAAAAGTTTAATGATGTGAGATTAATAATACTGTGAAAGCTGTTGGTAAAGTTTCAGCCAAAATAATTTCCAAAACTAGCTTTTATTTTCTTTCTTACAAAATTGTGTATATAGTGTTGGGAACTTGTACCATTTAGACGTTCCAAAGATGAACGTGTAATTTGATTTCCTACTTGTTTTGTTCCTTAAGCCGGTCCTGCTGATGACACAGAAACACGGTTCAAAGTTTTATAATTTTCTCTCTCAATGAGCAAAGCCTACTGATCTAATTATCAGCAGGGTGTACCACCGTGAAAGCTTTCAGTAAATCGGTGAGCTTAGTAAATGGCGCAATTAACTGTAACCATGGCTACTCAGGAAATGTGGCTCGTTCCAATTCCCTTCCGAGTGCTCAGAGTGGCGCGCTTATAACTTTTTACAAAGAGCTATGATTTACGCACCGCTGAGCTGAATAAGGCGGACACGAAAGAATACCGAAGCTCTTGACGCAAAACCTCCCAAAAGGTGAGGGGAAAAATCGCTTACGGGACATTAACGAGGAAAAGGCTTTCCGGGTATATCCGATAGCCATAATCACGTTTTTCAAAAAAACAAAAACAAATTGAGAAAGGGTGCACTTTGGAACGGAGGTAGGTGATTCATTACGTGCTTATCAAAAGAAGCTCAGGAAAAGACAATGGCTGTTTTCATTTCGATATTCAGGAACACCGGCTTCTAAATGATTCTGAAGTAATCAGTGGCTTCTAAATATTATTGTAAAACCGAGGTTAGAGACAATACCAACGATTCTAAAACCCGCAAGGATTTTGCATATGGAAGAACAGAACACCAGTCTGACCACCACCGAACTGAAGCCATTGTGTCGACATGCAAGTCTTAGTAACCGATAACTTTCCTTGCCAAAATCAAACCATTCAAGCAGTGAAACTTCTGCAGAACTCCTCTTTAAGGAATTTCCCGAAAACTGTTTTAATAACCATCGTGTAGCATCCTACCGATATGACATGACAGATTGCGGTCAATCTTCAGACATGTTGCTACCCGCTCTCTGATGGTCTAAGGCCTGAGTTCATTAACTTTCATGTAGTCCAACCCACATTGACACATTGCTGTTAAAAAGAGCAGTGTTGCTTGACAATCATGTTATGTCGAAATGAGAAGAAATGTAGGTATTGTTCCAAATCTCGGCTTTTATCTTCAGCAAATTAAACTCACGATTTAATGTCAAGAAAATGTCATGTCTTAATTCAAAATTACAGTTAATTTTTAACAGATTTGCAGTTATTTTTACCAGTGATTGACAATAAAGCGATTTGAGGTGAGTGTTCAGTTTTTCAAATGTTTTCTTTTTAGCCTTATCGATCTAATCATCTCCTCTGTGAAGAAATGAAATCACGTCATTCTCTCCCTTCCGCACGTGGAAAAGGTAACTTTTATGTCAGCTAGTTTTATCCATAATCCAGCAAATCCTTGACGTCAAGAACATGAGTATGATATATATCTTATTACAACAGAAACAAAGGCACAGCGAGTCTCATGTTGAAGGCAAAGAACCTACCGTGGTTGGGAAATTCGTATTTCGGAAACATGTCACGTTTTGGAACATGCATCATGTCATGACGTACTATATTGTGTTTGATATCTGTTCTTTTGCGTAGCCACGGATATGCGTTGCCCAAAATGTAAATGTTCATGTCAAACACTACAAAAGGTACGTATACACACCCAGACTTGTTTCACATACCTAGTGTGGACTTTCCTTTCTTTTCGTGTAGTTAAGGAACACCAGTGGAAAAACTCATTTTTCTCAAACTGTGAAAACTCTTACAACCCAATTTTTTTTCAATGATTCCCTTTAGTGTTTCTCTTCATTCTGCTACAGATAAACCTAACCCAAAAATGCCTCTAAACCTGTTTTCCAGAAATGGGGAAACACTGTGTGGACGTGGGCAAGTCCACACTTCGTCGCTGCTACCTACATTATGTGGACGTCTTTTGTTCGGAAGTCCACACTGCGTATGTAAGACAAGCTCACCCGGGCATTTGCAAGTATGATGACGTGTGGACTTACACCAAAAGAGATGTGCATCTTCGTTTACTGAAAAAAACCCATAATCTTGACTTATTCAAATATACAACTAAACACCTGTTTCCATCTATTCTCGTTCCAACAGGTGGAACGAAGGTGAAACTCTATTTAATTTGATCAACAGTCGGTGTTGGATAAGAAGAAGATCCTGCAGTGTGAATTGACTTGATACCTGCACGTATAGATTTGGTTAGGGTTAGATTCTGTCTGTTTAAGTCCTTAAACCTGACGTTGGATAAACGTGGTTATGATCTCTATTTCTCTATATCTGTCTCTTCATAAGAATGTTTTCAAGATTGATAGGTTTCATAAGAGTGTTTTTGTATTGCCAGAGGATGCAGCTGCAATGTTGCGTCAAACGAAGGGGTAGATTTCAGCGCCTCGAAAAGCGCTTGCCAATTGTCGAGATGAGGAGTGTCACAACCAAGACGCGCTGCTAAATCCAGCTGAATTCTCGAGAGCTTTTCCTCGAGGGGAAGGGGCGAGGGTAATCCGCTCCTTAGCGACCAAGACACGCTCAGAACCTCCATCAACACGGGACGAGAGAATGCAAGGAAGCAGGAAGCAGAGGAATGAAATCAGGGGAATAATCTGAGATGTTTCCCCAAGGAAGGACTGGGGATGGTTCAGTCTGATGGGTCATTACAGATTTATGGCTCGTCATCACACAACCATATGCCTGTGGTATAGATCGTGGGGAAGATAGTACCGTCCGTGGCGATGCATAGCATAATGGCATTTGGTGTTGCTAACACCACGTCATGTTTATCATTGCTTGAATTATTAAGAGAAAACAGAGACAATTTTTTTGTTGTGAAATCTGCTGTTTAGTCCACTGTGTTTTATCCGTTTATCCTTCGAATATAAATATGCCATTCGCTGCAATATTCTTTGATAAAGACTTTTTTGTAAGGGAGAGGGCGTTCAGTTTTGATTCTTTCTGTCATAAAATCTATAACCCATCTTGTTTTTCCTTTCAATTCTACGTTAGTATTTCATGCAAACATTGGCGTTGCATTTATACTGTTGTACTTTTTGCCTCTGAAGAAGTCGTTGCTAAGGATGAAATATCAGGCCACTCTAATATTTGTATTGCTTATTTCAGGTCAATCCAGTCAGTGGGCAGTTTGCAGCAGTTTCATTCATTTTCATTGTACCTGTTCTGTTTGTTTTATTTCCTGTAAATATCATAAATAATGATTCCGTCATTTATCAAACTTCCTTGCTAATTTCATGCATACGCATAATGAAGTGGATCGAGAGCCCCAAAACACCAATCTTGATTTTGCGTGCACCAACTCGCAATTAAGAAGTGTTGAACTCAAGACGTCATGGGACATTGAACACAGTTAATAAGGTGGGCTCCCTCACGCTGCAAAGGCCAGGCAGCACGCACACGAGGTGCATGGTTGCTTCTAAGTGCAATGCCCCATGCATCTCCTTGCAAGATTGAGTTGAATTTTGGAAAGGTTGGAAAGAATTTTGGACCAGCCACGTGATACTGTCTTGCCATTTCGTGAGTTTTTTCTAGTCTAAAACTGAAATGACGACTTGGCTTACTGGACAATCCCATAAAGATGCTTTAACTAGCAAGTTTGGCTAAACCATAACTTGGTTTGATTAACTATATGTACTCACCCCGCCAGCATAGCCGTGCCTCCAATCTCCGTAAGCAGACTGTTCCAGTGGAGGTGAACTCCCTTCGATGCCAACTCCTCCATACTCGGGGAATGTTCAAACACGTAATCCATGTTTGACGGTTTCCTGGTTTTAAACCAGGTTACGAAAGCCGATAACCCAGTGAAGAAGTACAACTGATAACTATAACCACAGATCCAGGTTATCAGCACATTTAGTGTTGGCTTTTCAGCCTCGCAGTTCTCACAGTAGATTTTTTTAAACTGACAACCAAAGTTTATCTACTAGCTGTAACTGTAACCACAGGTTAGTTAACAATGACCAAAGGTTACCAGTTCTGGTTACCGGGGGATTCAAGTTAATTATTTACTCATATTCTAACCGATCATATGTTCATCTCGATTGAAGGATTCATCAGAATGTCTTTGGTATACGCATTTCGTCCTCACCACGACGACCGTGCAGAGACTTGACCGTTCCCAATGAACAGGTTGTGTTTTCTAATATCCTCTCCGGACGTTTGTCGACGAAGGAGACAGCGCAGATTATGTTTCACCCGAGTGTCTTCAATTTATTGGGGATGTCAAGTAGACCTGTCGAGGAAAGAAAAAACAGAATGCACTCTGTTTACAAGAGGCACTATAGCAAGAGCAGTTACCGGGATGCACTTTTAAAGAAGCCATCTACCTTACCTAGGGATTGTGGTTTCAAGAACGCGTAACACTATCCACCTCAACGGGACAAAGAGCACAGAATAAATAAGGGGAAGTCAGAGTAAATATATTACAGTAACATTCCTATAGAGTTAAATCCAAACTCTTTCGTTTTTTATAATAAGCGAGCTGTCTTTAAAAGGGACATCTCTCGTATGGATTGTCATCATAGTAAATGTGAAAGTGCGGTCACTGAACACATGCGATCGATAATACGCGCTATCTGGTGAAACACTTACCTATTTGGCATTTTAACTTCACCCCAACACAGTTGCCCTTGGCATAATTTCATGAAACTGTTAAGCAGAATAGAGCTGAGCAAATTTATGAACTAAGCAAAAGCTAGCGGAGGGCCAGTCACAAGTAATGTAGATCGTACGGCAATTTGGTTGGTTACCAGTGTAACTATACGCAAAATTCCATGTAGGGCCATATGCAAAATGCTGGTAATCAGGTTCTAATGTTAGTGTTCACTTCTTTATTTTTTTTTTCTCTCTCTCTTTTACCGAAGATCTATGTCGTGTAACATCATGTGGAAACATTTATTTTGTATGTTTGTTTAAAACTGTGCAAACATTCATTGGAAAAACTCAAGACAAAAATCTTGGGCAAAGCAGCGAAAACCCAAGTCTGGCCTCTGCTTAAGCTGACTGCGCCCGGAGGCATGCTCCGTAAATCGGGGAGTTTGGCGGCCAATTCCGACGAGTTCGATCGTAGAGCGGGGTTATATCGCGTTACGGTGTTCTTCCGGTAGAGGGGGCGTGCAGTGGTGAATCTATTATTCTTATCAAGTGTCTCTGCCGTTTGCAGTAGTCATGCAGGATTATCTGTGTGGGTGTCTGCACTTTGCTGTTGATGTAAATACGAAACATCTCCTTGTGTTGTTGTTTTTTTCTCCAATTCGAAAATATAACTCTTATGTTATTTTGAAGACAGTTGTCTTAAATCACATCGAAATCTTATTGTAACAAGATGATCAAGTCAGTAAACAAGAAAGTTAATTTACATTTGAATATGTTAGTTTTAATATGAATGTTAGTTTTAATATGAATATTATTCTAATATGAATTAGGCTTCAGACGCAATATGGTATAGAAATCTTGATGTAATTTTAAATTATTATTAATGCTAATTTTCTCTTTATCAAAATTTAAATTTGAAAAAAGTGACAATGTTTTAAACGCACCTTGTTGATAGCTGGTAGACTGTAAAACATTAAAATATGTTTGGTATCAAGAAGTTAAAACGCAAATGTGCCTGATGTCACTAGACCTTACACGCATTCTTTTCAAAGGAAAATCCATCTCTGTCTCACTCTCCACATAAACGACAAATTGGGTACGAAAGGATCACAGCACTTGCGCCTTCAATGGCATTACGCCCACGAAGCATAATACATCAAATCTATTGAATACGGTTGAATGGGCGCGCCATATACCAACTTCTGAAGCTGATGAAACTGCATCAAAAATACATGTAGATTTATACAAGCGGCGCCAGGTAATCCCATGGGTATGGTATAACCTTTCAAAAAAAGTCTTTATACTTGGTGGTTATAATAACATAATCCCTTTGTTGGATGCAACCACCGCAATACAAGAGCATTCTAAAAGTAGAGGATTTTCTTTGGAAAACACTGTTTCTTTCTAAGGCAACATGCATGATATAACATTATTATAACATTATTATAACACTACAATACAAGAGCATTCTAAAAGTAGAAGATTTTCTTTGGAAAACACTGTTTCTTTCTAAGGCAACGTGCATGATATAACATTATTATAACATTATTATAACACTCTATATAAAAGGATTCTCAAACATAATGACTTTTTTTTTACATGAGCAATTTGCGCAAAACTGCACGACGAATACAATCAACAAGGATTGGCTGGCGGAACGCTTCTTATATTTTATCACAAAACAATTTTTTTAGGTGGTGTATACATTTTCAGATGGAAACGAATCTTTACCAGGTTTTGAGAAATTAAAAGCCGCTATATTCAGCACGGATTGATTTTATAACATAATCCCTTTGTTGGATGCAACCACCGCAATACAAGAGCATTCTAAAAGTAGAAGATTTTCTTTGGAAAACACTGTTTCTTTCTAAGGCAACTGCATGAGCAGATGTATCAAGTTCCCCCAGATTTGATTAAACTCCTCAGTAGCCGCTATTACATTTCATATTCTTTTTTTTTTTTTACCGTCGAGAGATCCGTTTCGGATTTCTATTAGGAGAGCTCCTCAGAGATATTTCTATTCAATTTGCACAATTACATTATATCTATACGCTATGTATATCTTATGAATATCCTGTCTATATCCTACGTATATTCTATGCATTTTCTATGTATATTCTATGAATAGTTTATCATTCATAATGCACAGACTATAGAGGAATCGTCGGTTCAATCCTCGAGTGTTGATTTATTGATTTTAGATGGACGATATACCACCAATGACCTCCATGTGCGATGAGATATCAATGCGGTGTTATACTGCAGAAATATGTTAAATAAAGGGATGAAAATTAAACCGTGGGGCTGTGAATTTTACTAAATTGTGACATCTTCATTATGTCAGGAACAGGATGTAACTAAAATTTGTGGTTACCCTAACCCTAACACTAGTTTTCAGTTATACTTGAAATGGATAAACTTTACATTGCTGTGTTTAGAATTATTTTGATTTGTTCTAAGGCCCCCCCCCCCAAAAAAAAAAACAGTCTCCGGTTTCTGGTATGGAGCTTGCCCAAAAAGTGGTGCGGCGACGCGGCTTTTTTTTTTTTACCTGTTTTTTTTGCTTTAAATGTGTGCTGATGACTGCAAATGGTGCCCGACTAAACTTAGTGCAAATATATGGGAGTCCAGAGAGGCCACATAAAGCTCATTCTCGACCATAACACAATCAAAAACACGTTAAAATTGTGCAGCAGCAGGATTCCAGTCAAACCAGTGAATTTGGCGGTTTTGAGACATCATCTTTCATTGAAAAAAAAACTTTTTCATTTTGCCGACGCGCATGGCTACGGCGACGCGCGCGCATACCAGAAACCGGAGACTTTTTTTTTTGGCCTAATGGTTTCAGAGTGGAAAGTGGTCATGTTTACAAACCTCGGCTTCATCTCGGCTTCAACTTCATCGCTGACTCTGGAATAATCTAGGAACCTTTGATGCTAGAACTTATTGAACAAGTTGAAATATTGGCTGGATAATTGTAGCTCGATGTTCGATGCCATAGGCTTTACACTAACGAAACTGAACCATTAAGCCAAAGCCAGTACGAAACCAAGGTTTGAAAACACTTGTAATGTATACCAAAGCGACACACTTCCTTCTGCGCGAAGTTTAAGCAAACGTGAAATATTTGCACTCGATGGAGCGATCGTGGCGGCGCTTGCGTAGTCATTTCCTGCATAAAGAGCGATTATTGATGGGACACTCAACCCCTCGCCAAAGAAAAAATCTCCAAATCCTCTTTGGTTGCAAGAGCCGAAACGGGAGCTTTATTATGCGTGAAATAATTGCTCTTCAAGCGTTTCCCGAAGGCCAATCATTATTTTCTGAATGAGCAATTGCTATTTAATAGCCCGATGCATGCGCGTATATGACTACAATTTCCATAGAGGAAGTGCGTTAGCATGATGGTTTAATATAATGGAATTTCGTGTCAACGTTTGTTACTCCACTTACGTTATAACCTGTCACTTTTCTTTTTCGGTTTGGTAAAACTCCTCATTTTAAAGAATAATAATTGTTGTGAATAATTTCCAGACTTTTTAAATTCACTTCTTTGCATAAGATATTGTGACCTGCAACGGCTGCAAGCCCCATTCTAGAAAAAAAAACTCACCATGTTGGTTTGGTAAAATTCTTCATTTAAAAAATATATTATTGCGAATAATTTCAGACTTTTTAAATTTACTTCTTTGCAGAAGAGATTGTGATCTAGATGCAAGCTCTATTCTAGAAAAAAAAGCACCAAAGGATAACTATGACAGGTGGACACGGTGTCTTCGGTTAAACGAGCCTTTTCAACGTCTCTAGAATGTCTGAGGTATCTTTTAGACTTTGCCCAGTTCAAGATTATTAAATGAACGAGTAAGAAGTACCGGATCAAATCACCGTGTATCTTAGTTCATTCAACTGCAATGTACTTTTGTTCCAGTGTCTCCGGGGGCAATAAATGTAAGACTACTACGTTTGATATACTAGATCTAACTCTAGATCAAAAGTAGACATGGTATGTCTACATGGTAGACACTGAAGCTTCTTCGTATATAAAATATTTTCAAAGACGAAACTCGTTCGTTGATCATAAACGGACTTCGGATGCAATATTTGTACAATCTTACCAAATCACAGTTTCCTCTTTCGGCAAGTGCTATTTTTTATTATGATCTTTACTTTCAACTGCAGTGTTTTTTAATATATGTAAATAGAATCTAGAATACATCACCTGTATTGTAATAGGGTTGTAGGCATATACTGTCTTTCTTGGTTATACATCACGGCAAAAACTAATTATTTCTGAGCAAATCTAGTGAAGTGCTTAGTCAAATATGCATTACCCTGCAGATATTAATGTATGCAAACGTGCAACCAACCAGACACAATGCTGTTACATTCTCCGGTCCTATATCCCGCCTTGCAGGCTGAACGCACGCGACTTCAAGCACTTATCACGATATACCATAGAGACATTGCTACCGCAAATGCAGTGAAAAATACAGTGCGTTCAAGCGCCAACCAAAGAAATGCAAGAGCCATTTTAAATACTTGACTTCAGAATTGCACAGCTGTGATGAAAATTTTAGAAGTTAATTTACGAAAAGTATAGGTATAAGATTATAAGGCTTGTATATTTTCTGATGTGGGAACTATTTTTTTCTTATCTTTTTGTCTTCAAAATTTATTACACTAGAATGTGTAACATAGGAATTTTGTACAACACACTGCACAGGTACGTTTTTTGTGTCGTGATTTTGGGGAAAGTGAGAAAATAAAGGTGTTCAGCATCGATGCAAAATTTACAGAGCAAAATCCTGCAAAATCCATGAACAACAATGAATAAAACTATCCATACTTCATGGCAACATTATTTTCACTCTAAATATAGCGTGACTATAAATACTTGAAGACGAATGCTCTTTTCATCATGTGTGATCCTAGCAACCACTTTAACCGCAGTAACTATTTATGCACGCCCACACTCAACAATGATAATTGCACATTTGTTGTACATCATAATAAGAGTTAAAAAAAGAGATAAAATTATCAGGAATTTCCTGTCTGACATATGATTCAAACGAAGACTGACGTTGCAGCTACCGCAGTATTTTGGCTGAGGAGACTTAAGCTTTAAGTAAACAAAACGAGAACTCTGCGTTGTGAAAAATAAACATATTGTAAACCAAAAGTAAGTGACCTACCTTTCGAACATCCAGGTAACCTTCGTTGTTACATTCGAAACAACCACCCGCTGTACGACTTTGAACTAAACCTTTAACGACCACTTAGAAGATAAAATGATGATGAGTAAAATTCATTCCATAAGGTACTGCCTGATTGTAACGTGGTTCCCAATCTATCGATGGAGTACACCGGCTGTTCTCTTGCCAGGCTAATGAAGACTGTTTAATCATAGAAGCAGGGCATCACTCTCACGTTGACTCGACTATAGATAGCGGAAGCTGCTTCTATTCTATGCGTGCGTCGGTGCATGCTGTGTGTGAGCGTCTGGCTTATTTCTGAATTCGTGGGTAGTATCGTCGAGCGGTGATGCAGAGAGGCGGTGAATTAGCTTGAGGAGCAGGCAGTGATGGGGAGGTGCAGCATCCGACGGCTGATTCATGTACGGGAAGCTAAGCTTGGAATAAATTATTTACAACTAACTGCTGTCACCCACTGGCTATTTCATAAGGTATTTTGAAATGTCCGTGTGTGTTCATCACGAAGCTTTGGTACCGCGATTAATGTACTTAGCATGGCAATTTGGTGCTTGAATCTGAATCCTAAGAAGAATTAACAAGAATGGGGTAACACTGTATTTCTCCAAGGTGGTTGTGAGCTGCGTTATGTTTAGCGACAATCGCAATGAGTCCAAACGAATCAGCTGTAGCCTAGGCCCTATAGTCATGTATCTCAGTTACGTTATATTCACGCCACGTGGGCGTCCTTTTGGGGTAGTTAGACATTTTGTCCGGTTCGCTCCATCAGTTCATTCCTCGAGACCATTAGATTACAGGGAACTTGGAAATATCAACAGGACTACGCAATAGTGCGCAGGTTGCATGGCCGTTTAATTATCACCAGAAAGTCCCGCGATATCTCCCATAATAATCCATTCAAGGCATCTGAATATGTTGTTGCTACGCTGGGTTGTTTTGGTAGGGGTGGGTGGGGTTGTCTGGAGTTTTGGGAGTTTGTCTCATCTTTGTAACATTGCAATGGTTGATAGTGACTATACTTTTAGGAGTGGCGTACGTGATCATCGACATTTCTCCCATATAGTCTTAGGTTAACCCTTCACAGAAAATGAAAGATGATGAAATAAGCTTTAATGTGTTTCAAACACCTTGGAGAGTTTTGAGTAGTTTTCCTATTTTTTTGATGTGATGGTAATCACTGAAGTCTATAGACTTCTCGATGACAGCTTAATAGGTCTGCAACATTATACCTGAACGCCATATTGGGTCCCATAGCGAGGCAATACTTTTAAAACAAAGTCACCATGGCGTCGATTTTATGTAGGGAGGTAGGTTGTTTCGTAAGAAGCCCGTTCTGACGCTGAGAGTAACCTCTCTTTCAATCCGCTAAAAGAAACCATGGAGTAACATTGCAGCCAGTATAACACCTTACAGTGGCCAATATTCAATTTGCCTTATTGAATTCGTTGCCAATTGAACACACTCGCGAAATTTGAGGTGACAAAATGTCGATCCAGCTCGTCTCGAGAGGGTAAGAACCTAATATTTTTGTAGTTGTTCCTTCCACATGCACCCCCCCCGCGTCCATTTGTCCACGCCCACACAATTTACTACATATATCGATGTCGAGCCATTAATATATTAAAAGACTATACTACAGACATCAAATTAAAGACAACGAAAACTCTAGAAACGGCAAGACTGAATGGATACTGCCATGCCGAGAAAATGAGTTCGCCGAATAAGAAATCGTGATTTCCCTGAACGATGCTTTTATTTCGTGGTGAAACGCAGGACAATGACGAACATGAATTATGCAATCACGTCTGCACGCAGCGTTGGCGCAATTACGAGCAAATTTGGGCGGGACGGGAATATGCCGCCAGGAAATGATCATTAATAAGTAGCCAGACGACTGTTTTATGCATAGATGACTAAGCAGATGTGGGGGCGCCATATAATCTCCGAACGTTCACCAATGAAGACAAATTTGGAAACAGAAGAAATCTCAACAGCTGCGAGTTTTTAATTTAGAATACTTAATTCATAGTCCTTTTTCAAAGGATGTCATGTTCACGAAGAAGAAAAAAAGGTTTAAATCTTTTAATTATTAAGGTAAAACTGCAATTCTTATTCGACTTGAACCACTATGCCATTTTTATGAAAAACTTGCACTGCACATGATCTAATAAATCCAAAGTATGAGCTATTTTCCTTTATAATATTCTTTTTAAAGCTGTTACGATACAGTGACAAAACAAAGACTGATCACCTATCAGAAACGGTGCTTTAACTTTGTTTTATGTAATTTCAGCGGTTTTAGCACAGTAGCATTTGGTATGTTTCTGGGTACAAAAAGTACACCTTTAAAAAAACCCACACAGACAGACAAAACAGATATACATGTACAAATATCTATTATAAGATGGAATTTTGCGTCGGGGTGATATAAATCAAATTATAGGTTTTGCCCTTCACGGACGTTTAAACACTGTATACTCAGTGTGTTACCTCCCGAGTGAAAGTTGGAAAACTTTCACCCGAGTGATTTTTTCCAACTTTCACTCGGGAGGTAACACACTGAGTATACAGTGTTTAAACGTCGGTGAAGGGCAAAACCTATAATTTGATGTACAAATTCCTTTGACTATGTCAACTATGAAAGAATAAAAACTTTAAAAGCATTGTTGCACTTTTTCTCCTTTTTTACGTAGCCATTCTCTTATGAATTCAGTTTGAAGCTATTTCGCATTTCACATTTATTTATGCAATTCTACACAGATTGTATGCTCTATCCCCATCAATCCTCCCCCACCCACAGAAAAATAAAAGCTGTCTGTAAAATGATATTTCGAGAGCAGGTGAGTGTTTTTCCCCCTCACATTGTAAAAACAATATAACCAAATACAACTGCCTGTACAGGGTAAGTAAAAAAAAAAAGCCAAATTTCAGGACTATTGGTTTAGTGAAGTTCTACAAGTAGCACTTTTAAAATCTAGGATATGAAAGCCCAATTCATATGCTTTCTTTTTAGTACAAGATTCATTCAAATCACTCATGTAATGTTCAATTTATGGAAGTTTAAACACAACCACCGTATTAAAGTTCTGTCCATGGATCACAAAAAAGGTGTGCGTTCTTTCAGCAAAACGAAAACAATTCACACTGACAGAACACTTACCTTTTTGTGATCGTGGACAGAACTTTAAAACGGTGGTTGTGATTAAAATTCCATAACTTCAAAATTACATGAGTGATTTGACTGACTCTTATACTAAAAAAAGCTTATGACTTGGGCTTTCATATCCTAGATTTTGAAAGTGCTACATGCAGAACTTCACTAAAACAATGGTTCCAACATTTGGGGTTCGTCTTTTTTTACTCACCCTGTATTGAATGAAAAAAAAAGAGCACATCTAAAGCTTTTCTGCATCAAAATCAGGGCTAAGGCAAGAAGTACTTCCCAATTGCATCCCACATTGCTTTGGTAAGCTTCTCAGCCTTCGGGTCATCGCTGTAATCGAGACTGTCAGCGTTCCACATCCCTACCCCACGGAGTTTCATCTGCTGGGCGTACTTGTAGCGCGTGGTCAGGCTCACAGGATCGTCATACCACACTTGGTGGATAACCTTCGTGGCTGCATCCTGCATAGGAGGCAAAGTTTTACACTTAAAGGGAATGTACATCATTGGTTTTTGCTGTAATTTTCAGAAATGAACTATTTGGGGGGTTAGTATAATAGATCAAATATTGTTGCACTGACATGTTTGACGTTTTGTGTTCGAAAATGCTGGAAAAACCAAGAAAAACAAAAATATTTACGTAGTCTGGTTCCCTGACTCCACTGGCTTCACACCAGGTGCCATAATTTTACAGGATGCTTTAGCATGTCATTTACCAACATCCTAGTAAGGTATTTCGTAACAACTTGGTAGTTTTATTTTTCGATGTTTGCAAATGTTGTATTTTCCCTTTAAGGTCCACAGATAAAGGTTGCAACTGTCTGGTCTCTTTTACTATATTCTAGTTTTGCATATTTATAACGAACCCCCGTCATTTGATTGGTGGGCCGTTGATCACATGTCATTGAATTCCAAAACTACAAGTTCTATTGCACAGTAAATAGAAGTTCCATTGCATGGTCCCATTGATTGGTGGCTCTGGCTAATCAGATTATGACGATCATCAGGTGTTGTGTAAAACAAATAAAGATGTGCCGTCACATTTGTGCAATGGAAAGACTATTAAGTTCATTTGGTGATGGACAAAATGTTCCATTCCGCTCAGCTTCGCCTTGTGGACTGGAACATTCAACTGCACCTCCCCCCTCAAAAATCCCCCCCCCCCTCAAAAATCCACTCTTATGTACCTGGGAACGTTGAAAGAGACTAACAAGAAACAACTGGCACAAAAACAGGAAAATAACAGGCCTGGAGTGTACTAAAAAGCTGACTTTAATATTTTACCACATAGTTGAAGTAGGGAGCCTGGTAGGTTGTGTTGTACAGCCGCCCGCTGGTAGAGTTATTGTCCAGCAATTTAATGACGACAGCATAGTTGAACTGTCTGCCTGCAGCATCACTGCAATTCACACCGCGGAATGGGACATGAGGAATGGAGCACACGTTGGTCTGCATATAATAAAGGGAAAATTGGTGTACTTCAGAAGTTCGGTAGAATATTGCGCACATAACTGTTGTCTTTAATGCATCGAAAACAAGACTTGGCAAGGCTTAGTTATGGCCAAAAAAAAAAAGGCTTTGGTTTCTGGTATGCGCACGCGTCGCCATAGCCATGCGCGTCGGCGAAATGTAAAAGGTTTTTTTTCAATGAAAGATGATGTCTCAAAACCGCCAAACTCACTGGTCTGACTGGAATCCTGCTGCTGCACAATTTTAACGTGTTTTTAGATGGGGTTATGGTCGAGAATAAGCTTTATGTGGCCTCTCTGGACTCCCATATATTTGCACTAAGTTTAGTCGGGCACCATTTGCAGTCATCAGCCGACATTTGAAGCAAACAAATCAGGTAAAAAAAAAAAAAAAAGCCGCGTCGCCGCACCACTTTTTGGGCAAGCTCCATACCAGAAACCGGAGACTTTTTTGGGGGGGGGCCTAAGGGATGTAGTCCAGTCCATCACAAGTCCATCACAAGTCCATCACAAGTCAAGCACAAGTCAAGCACAAGTCAAGTCACAAATAAAAGTGGATGAACAATAACAAAAGAATGTCTTTGTCAAAGCTCATTTGAATAGCTTATGATGTGAGTAGGGACTGAAAGACTTGCGATGGACTTTACTACTTCCCCGACTGTGACTGGTCCCTGACCAACTTCGTCTAAGAGGTCTACAACCCCGTCCAAAATGGTTGGGACACTTCCTGAGCCTGCCACGGTCACCCACTCCCCCGCTCCCCGGTCAATGTTGTTCTCTCCAGCTGATGGAGCACACACCGCGCAATGAGAGACAACATTGAACGGGGGCCGGGGGGTTGGGGGCCCAGCGAGATTTGGCCAGGATTGTAGGTATGAGGCTTCGGAAAGTCTGATCGCTGAACAAAAGAATTCCCAAATAGGTAGCTACAAAGTGGTGGAAAACGTGTTTTGAAAAAAAAAAAAGGATTAATTTCAAATATGGTTATCTCGGGATGACCTTTTCGCAGGATGTAGAGGCTTTTGTCACTTCGTGAAAACAACGTCAATATAATAAGGACAAGCAACACCCTCAAAGCTTCCGCATGTGTAGTGGTTGCAAGGCCCCTTGACAATTCTTGTAAGGTCCTAAAGAAGAATAGGTTACCTTATTATCAAGGTTGGTGCAGTTGTAGTTGTATCCATACCAAGGCACGCCCAGGACTAATTGATTAGCAGGTATGCCCAGCTTAAGGTAGCCTTCAACACCTGTCACAGAAACAAAAAAATATTTACAATTTTTAGAACATCCCAAAAGTCAAATCCGAAAAAGCTGGTTAGCATTTCAAATTAAAAAACATTCAGCCATACATTAGAACTATAACTTTTTTGGCTCCTACTCAATGTAGGAGTAAACATAAAAGTCTGAAAAAAATTAGGACAAAATGTGACATTAATTTTTCTCAAACTTTGAATTTTTTTGCCACATTTGAAACATTTTTTTTGAGAGGAAGTAACTTTAATGGTCCTTGCTGTCATAAAAGCTGATGGATGTATGCATCAAACTAAATACAATAACTCATGATCATCGTGCCAATTATTTGATTTACTCCGAGCATTAACTAACCTGTGGCTGTTTTGTTGTAGGGCGAGTTTGCCATGGCAATGCAATCTCCATAAATCTGGCTCTGCTCATCGTACGACATCACAAAGAGAAAGTCACAGGCATCGGCAAGGCCTTTGTAGTCATAGCAACGGCCGTCGGTGCAGTTAGGCGACCAGGCAACATCAAATGTAACCTGAAGAGTCAAGATGAGGAAACACTTAGTGATGGAGCCACAAGTTAGCTTTATTTCTGGTCCCTACCATTACGGGCGCATTTAGAGGCTAGGGGGTGTGGGGTGCCTGTGGCGTGTAATCGATTTGTCCGTAAAATCATGCGTCCGTCGGCAAATGGGCCAGTCTGGAGACTATTGAAGACAGCAACCAATTGTCTGACAGAGCCCACGATCGTCTGCATGAACCGCACCCTGATAGGAAGATTTGGCCTGCCTCTTCTCCCTTGTTTTTGCAACAGCTGAGAAACAAATTCCTGTCCACCTTTTAGCAGGGATATTCTGTCAGCAATTTGTTTGTCCACACCCCCCCCCCCAACTTCCCATTCAATGTTCTCAGATGATGCCCCTGGCCACCTTCATCAAAATAGATAAACCAAGAAATGGAATTAAGTACTTACCTGAGATCCTGGGATGGAGATATGGAAAGCTTTGGTGGTTTCACCGACGAGTGTCGTCAAGTACTTGGCCTGACTGGCATTGAGCGGATACTCAATGTCCAGATTGATCCCGTCCATGTGACCCTTGATGGCGCGGTCAACCTGTGCCATCACCCAGGCACTGCGGTCAGCGATGCTGGTCAGATTGGCCACAGGAAAATCGCCTGTTCATTTAATCAGAATAAGAAATGGTGTATGAATGCATGTCCTCATGTGAAGAGGCCATGGCATTGTGTACATTCAAAATGAAAAAATTCATGAGAGGGCCCTAAAAACAAAGTAACATGTGACTCAAAAATGCAAGAAAATTAGTGTTTAATCGAAGACTCCAACCGACCTAGAAGTGTGACCCTGACGCCTTGAGAATGTGCATAGCACATCAGGTCTGCATCGTAGTGTCCGAACATCACGACTGTGGTCAGTTTGGTCCAATCATACTTCATCCAGTGTGGTCCACCCAACCAGAATGCAAACACCTGCAATTTGCAAGTAAAAGTTAAAAATTAAGGCAGTGGAATTTTAGAAGAATAGGCCTAAATACAATAGGGCCTACTAGAGTTAGATTACGATTTTTTAATTGTAATTTGTATACTTCTCAATACAAAACCAAGGCCTTCATAAGACCGTTTTGAAAGAAGGTTGCAACCTGACCTCAGCGGTCGTGTACAAAGTCTTTGGAGAGACAAGACAATTTTCAAAGTATTTCCTAACAAAACTGGAAATGTTTCTCAGTCCCAGATTCATGTCTTAATTTATCATCATTTTTGCAATGAATGACCTTCATTGTGATGATTGATATATGAAGAAAAAAGCAGCGTCAGGTTGCAAAATTCTTTCAACAGTTTTAATCTAGTGACATATTATCTTTAAATTCAAACTTTCTGTAATAAAAATTATGTCACGTTTTGAAGCAAGTTCGTGTCCCACCTCTTTTCGCGGCGGCGTTTTGATCACATTGCATAGCGCAGGAGCTGAACACGGACAGTCTCCGTTCGGTGACTTGAAACGGCTTTCTGCGATCAAACACCATCCCTGCACGAAGAGAAGGAAGAACAGAAGAACTTGGACAAACTTCTCCATTTCTCTTATTGCAATTTTTTTGTATTTGCACATGCGATTTTACCAGGAACTTCCGTGTTTTAATATAAACACGCTCAAAATACCGACCTGGCGTTGTGTCACGTGCCGTGTCAGGTGTTCCGTAGTAAATAGCAACGTGTATTCGATGCCACAAGAGCGTGTTCAAGTAGTAATAGAAGCGACGTTGACACCATATATGTGTTAAAATATACCAAGTAGTCAGGTCCTTGCGTTTATCATTATCGCTCAAATTCACCTTAGGTGAGTCTGGGTTCCAAGTGTGACCTTCGGGGTTGTAAAGTTGCTCCATCGTTGAAAATGGCAAGTTTTTCTCTTGTTTTAGCCGCCTTGATTGTGTGTTTTGCAGTGTTTTTGGCCGATCCAGGGCTTGGATTTAGCGGATCAACTGAAGATGGCGGTTGTCCCTGTTCGGATCCTTCTCACTGCAAAGTTATTTCAACGCAGCCGCGGAAAGAAGTAAGTCGCGTGTTAGTCATATATTATCATGTTCCAGTTCAATCGAAGTTCGAATTGGAAAGATTTCCATATACCATGGAGCGTTTTCCTTGCTCCATGCATATACGAAGTTCACTCAACACCCTGTGTACAAACCCTATGAGATTGGACTGGAAAAAAAACCTGCTCAAATTGACTTTGATGACATGAAATTGCTATCTGGGGGCTTGTTAGTCAATACAGAGGAAAATTAGTGAACTTCGTATATGGAAATCTTTCCTTCGAATTTTCCCGAACTTAAAAAGAAAGATTTATTTTTTTATTTGTCAAAGTTGAACAACGAAATTGACTCGAGCAGGGTTTGAACCTGCGACCTCCAGATTGCCGTTCCGGCGCTATTAAAACTCGGCTATATATCTAGCCCTTTGTTGGCGGTTCTCCAATGTATGTCAATGTCTTTGTTCAAGGGGCACTATAGTCAGAAACCAAGCATGCCATGAAGCCAGAGACCACGCCCAAGGTCACGATGCTAGCAACATTAGCAATACTGCAACTGCAAGCCCGGGAAATAGCAAACGGGATAATTTTTTTTAGACTGTCTGCTTTTGTTGATTTAAAAAGAAGACATAAATTGCAGCGTACATAGACTGAACATCATGCACTTTATTCTTGGCAAATTTAAGCCAGAAAACTCAGCACTTGTAAAGGAGAGTACCATTGGCGGGTTTTTATGAATGGTGGAACGCTGCTTTTTGTTCCAGAATAAAACGCAAACACACATGGTACTTTTTTTTAAAGTTCGTCCTATATTTTGGAAATTAAGATGTGTAAATGTTTTAAGAATTGGTATTAATTTAAGTTATTAAATCTGTCCTGATACCGTCGTACCTATTTATAAAAAACAATGAAAATCTTCTTCTCCCTTTTAAAAATTGTTCTTGATCTTTTGCTGTGAACGCAAAAGTAAACAGAGCAAGCGAAAGTAATGCTCGTGTCTTGCCTGTTGCAGGTTTTTGCCTTCTGGGTAGGATCGACAACATGGAAGCATTATGATTGGACACGGATCACTACCATTGTAATGTTTCATCGTCACAATCCACAACTCATGTGTTATGCCCACTCCAAAGGGGTTCGAGTCGTCAGTATGGGTTAGTTTACCATTATCGGTCAAATTAATTGTCAAGGCCCTAGGATATTATAATTGACAATAATTAGGATACAAATCCTCTGGATCTAGATGTATTTGAATCATTCAAATGCGTTTGGAATTTTGCATTGTCACTGGGTTTTGCTCGTAAACGGGGGACCGGGAGTGTGGCCTAGCGGTTACGGTTCAGGATCAGAGGATCGGGGTTCGAATCCAGCTGCTGGCCATATGACGTGTCCTCGGGCAAGCCACTTTATACCCACTAGTTTGCCCCTCTCTCCACCCAGGAGTATAAATTGGTACCAGCATTAGCTGGGGAGTAACCTGCGATGGACTGGCATCCCATCCAGGGGGAATATAAATATTCTCAATCATTTTATGCCACTGAAACCAGAGATAAACAGAGGTAATGCATAATCGTTTGCAGTGAAAACATTTGCATCGTACAGGACTGAGTTTACATTGAAGTTAATATCTGAGAAAATTACGTTTGAAAGAAAGAAAAAAAATGTGGGTATTGTTATCTCGTCACAGGTATATTTCCGGCAGCGAATCTTTCCAGTGTGGCCGATCGGAGCGCCTGGGTTATGGCCGAAGTCAACGAGGCCATAGAGCAGTATCTGGACGGTATTAACATAGATATCGAATATCCGATGAATAAATCCGAAGCTCACTTGCTGACCAATCTTGTGGCTGAAACTGCTCATGCTTTCCACATTTCAATTCCAAACTCTCAGGTAAAGGTGACAAACGGTAATATTTTTGAACTAGTAAGCAGGTGGTCATGGGTTCGATTCCCACTGGAGCGAGCTTGTTAATTTTCCCGCAGGCTACAGTGCTAGCAAAATCACATCGGTGAAGGACTCAAATCAAGTTGAAGAAATTAATTTTTGTAATATTTTTTTAAAATTTAAGTTATGTGATTCAGTTCATTACGCAAAACTTCATATCCCAGTTTAAAAAATCTTAACCTTCCTTCATTGTCCCTTCAGTAAGCTTTTAAGTTACAGAACCGTGGACGTTTTTTTAGTAACCTTAAGTTTCATTATCAAGAAATGAGTTATAAAACTGATAGTAATATTTGAATTTTGATGATTTTTGTATGGATGTAGTGGCGATCGGAATACTAATGCGATGTTAAAGATGATGGTAATAATGGCGATGACTGTATGCTGACAGATATCTTCATAGTCATTGATTGTGCCTTTTCTATCCATCAGGTGACGTATGACGTCGCCTGGTCACCTGACTGCATCGACGAGCGTTGCTATGACTACAAAGGCATCGCTGAAGTATGTGACTTCGTCTTCATCATGGCGTACTCGGAGCAGAGTCAGATCTATGGCCCTTGTATTGCCATGGCAAACGGCCCGTATAACAAAACAGTCAGAGGTATAAACGAGGAAACTTCAAAAAAAATATTTCAGAATATGTTAACAAAGCAGGTTGAGCTTCATACGCGAAATCTGAGCCTTTTGCAGGCAGATAATGCGATTTGAAGTTAAACAAAGACGGGAGTTGAACCTGAAACCGCCGGATTACTGCACGGACGCTTTTAAAACTCGGCTTCCATTTGGAAGGTTTTTATTTTGTCAATGACACAAAAGGTATTATGTCAGTTTTCCTTGGTGATTTATTTGATGACGTTCTTAAATGGACATATTGAAAATGATACAAGCTCTTTTGTTAGAAACAAAATCTTTCCTGTCATTGTGCTCATTATTATACATCATGATTTTCTTATGTTTTTCCCGAGACTTCGGCAGGTTGGATCAGTTGAAATATTGTCTGCTTGAGTAAAATTTCGTAAACACAACGCATATTGGTGGATGTGAACTCCAATTTGTCGAGGAAAACTTAACCTCAATCATTCTCTTCATTCTAGGAGTCCAAGGTTACCTTAAATTGGGAATTCCTCCAGACAAGCTCGTCTTAGGATTGTCCTGGGACGGCGTGGACTACGTCTGTCAGAAAGTTTCCAAGGTGATATGCAAATCAGTTTTTATTTCAATGAATATTTATGAGTATGTTGAATAACACGACGTGTACCTCATTAGATATCCTCATTCTATCGTTTGGACTTTTTTATGCGGCACCTTAATTGTCGAAAATTAACAGGCTGGTTTACTTTCCCCCCTTTTTCAGGACAATGTGTGTTCTATCGAACGTGTCCCTTTCCGTGGAGCTCCATGCAGTGATATACCAGCGAAGGAAAGAACATTCGCTTTTATTATGACCAAACTGGTGGATTCTACTACTGGTAGACTGTACAATGCGACGTATGCCTCACCGTACTACAACTACAAGGTGAGTCAGTCACTGCAACCTAAAACCCAACCCAACCCAAATCAACCCAAATAACCACAACCCAACCCAATCATAACATACACAACCTAACCCACCCATACCCAAATCAACCCACCAAAGTGTGTATTTGCTTGCAATAGGGGACCCCCTATTGTCCCTCTTTTGTTTGTACCCTAACTTTTTAGGAAGACCTCCCATATGTTTTGTACTCATCGCCAAATTGGGGACCTTCGGGAATTGGGGACCCTATTGTCCTCTATTGTTCGACGTCCCCTATTGAATGCAGAAACAAACTCAAATCGCCAACTCAGCCCACGTACCATGACCATACACAACCCAAACCAACTGAACCCAAATCAGCACAGTCCAAACCAGCCCAAACCAATGAGAAAGGCCAAAAGAATTATGCAAGAGGACCATTTTCTTTTTTATTAGATTGAAAAAAAAAAGTTACCAAGAAGTTCATGGAAAGAAACCACACGAGATCGACACATAAGTGCTCGTGTACACTTAATATGTGTTTGTGTGGGTTTTTTTTCTCCACGTGATATTCGTAGACCAATGTGCCTGGCCAGATCAGACAAGTCTGGTATGACGATGTCGGGTCCCTGACTCTACGCTACGAGTACGCCAAAAGTGCTAACCTACGCGGCGTGGGCATGTGGCCCGTGGACAGCCTCAACTACACCCAGACGCCCGCCGCTGAGAACCAAACACGTGCTATGTGGGAGGCCATCGACACTTTCCTGAAATGAGAATAAAGTATTAAGCATATTGCTTAGCAAATTGATAACACAAACAAACCCAAAGATTGTTAAACGATTTATTTTGTGAAAGGGTCCGCCCGTTCCAGAATTAAAACTATTCCAAAGTTAAAACAGTATTTGCTTTAAACTTACGGGTTTTCATCATTGGTAAATAATCAAATGAAAGGGGAATTGTTTGGATATGGAGATATCAGATATTATCATTAGGCCTATAAACATGTTAATTGTTGTTAAAGTGAAATTTTGCGTATTCCATCCACGTATTAATATCCAGTGTATCTTGTACGGTATATTTCGTCCCACACTTTGTAAGCTGCATATGTTGGCTATTCACTATAATCCAGCGGCAGTCATTTTCTGCGCAGGAACCAGGATCGCGCGAGTTGCGCTCAGGCAGCACGCACACGCAGCACGCACACGCTTCGGGCTCCTTCGACCAATAGGAAAACCAAAATGCGCGCGTGCCGCGTCTTTTGAACGCATGCAGCATGTGCGTGTCACCACCGCAGTAACAGCTTCTAAATTCTGGTTGCCGGATTCCACTATAGTTAATTACTCGAGAAGATTGCTTTTATGTTTTGTTGAGCCTGAAGTGAACTATACGTATTATTATACTTATATGTATAGCTGTCCTTGTTCAGCTGAAATAGATTATCAGTGCTTTATTAGCTATTAATATAACAAGGAAAGGTGAACTGGTCGTATTATTGTCTCAGTTATAACTTGAATTGAAGTGTTGAGATACTATTTGTATATTTTGTACGTGTCTAATTGTTTTTACACTTTGCGAATAAAAAAGCAAATCGAAATTCTATGACTGTCCTTGTTCGGCTGGAACAGGACTTTAGTTATTAATGTGAAAATGAAACCAAGAGGAACTGGTCACAAATTGATTCAAAAATCTCAATTGAACATTTTGAGATTCTATTTTGAATATTTGGTACGTGTTTTATCTTTTCGAAACTTTCTAACATTGAGAATAAATGTTGATATTCGAGATTTCAGAGGATATGGAATAGACTGTTATTATACAATTATAATGGAGGAACAGGTGTTAAGTCTGTTTTCAGTTTGCTCTCCATTGTTATTCATTCTTGGGTGTAAACAGCTAGAAAGCGCACGTTGACGAGCACAGTGTAAGTTCGCATTCTCGAAGTTAGGTCGCATCGTATATTGCATCCTATAAACCAATTCGGGCACGATATCATTTCAATCACGGAGGCCCTCTTCAATGGCGAAAGCATTGTGCTAGCTATTGTTCAGATAATCCATCACGGGACAGTTGCTTTGTACATACAATAGTACACAATGGTTTCTCCATTGGAGGGGTCCGTGTGTGCAGCGATTCGTCTATAATCTTTGTTGAGACAACAGTGGCAACCAGCTTATCAAGTTAATTATTAACCATTATTAATGACGCACTGTTTATGTGATACCAGGTTGCGCGCATAAGTTCAAAGTCTACAAAATGGCCGCCGGTGCGATATGATAGAGTTTCGCATTCGATTTGATAACTAAAACGTCAACAACCTGTGGAAGTTAAGAGTGGTGGTACAAATCTTCTACATTGTGATGGTCGTCTTTGATGACTGTGAAAATCAGGTGAGTCTAAATACGTTTATCGTTCGCAAAGAATAATCTAATTTTGTTGTACGTAATTCCCAAAAATTCAAAATGTTTTATGTCATGTTAGGAATGTTACTAATGAGAAGAACATTTGTTGAGTGCAAAGGGCCTTAACTGCAGGCTACAGTAATACTGTCAACATTGTATGCATGCTGCAATAAAACGACAATTAACACATTCATGTTTTTTTCATTTGGGGACTGTTGACATGATCCATGTTTAATTATGTCATAATATCGAGGTCATATTAAAGTAATTATATTGATCCACCCCTGTGGAGTTTATTTCGTTAAAAAATCATATTAAAATGTTTAAATTTTGGAGGGATTGCACTTTGACGAGTCTCTGGTTTCCCTTCTTTTTTGCCACATAATTTAATACTCGGGTTTTTCGATGATTCTGAAACTGTTGTTAATTTTGCAGTTCTTCGAAGGTGGACAGTTCCAAAATACAGAGCTATGAATGTCGGGCTGGTTTTAGTGATGCTTGTCTCAGCCATAAGTAAGTATGCAATAGCCTTACAATTAATTTAAAAAAAAATATTGTTTTTGTAATTAATGTTTCAATGCCTCACACTGACTTTTCTGAAATGCATGTACATGCATGTATACCATTAACAGTCGATTCTCGTTAATACAAACACTGATAGTACAAATTCTTGTTATAGCAAACATAAAGCCTAGGCCCGACTGTGCATTTATGTGCACAATGAATGTGACTGGCACTTCACTTAATACGAAATTCAGATATAACGAACATTTTGGCCAGGTCTGACTGAGTTTGTATTATCGAGAGTCGTCTGTAGGCCTATATAGTTTCTTTCTTTTTTTCTGAACAGAATATGAATAGAACAGAAAGCTATATTTCGAGAAAAAAATATCACAACTGATTTTTTTTTTGGGGGGGGGGCATTTAAAAAATTGGTTTCATGATATTCAGGAGTTTTTTTTCTTTATTAAATGTTTGATGAATTGTAGCCTGCTGTGCAGCCATTCAATGCTACGATTGTACGGTGACAGCGGTCGGGGGTGGCGATCCAAAGTGCGATGACCCATTCTATGACCTAGAACCTCCCTACATGAAAGACTGCGACTCCGAAGTCTACAAGAAATGCCGGGTAAGAAAGTACCAGCGAATCACGATGTTCAATCTTCCCCACAAAGGCATCGCTTGCCCCCGAATAATTGCCAACAAAATATCGGCCTGTCGAGAAACTCGTATGTCAGACAATGTGGCTGAATTGCTCCACCAATTGTCCGTCACACCCCCATTCACAAAAAAGGGTCTTTTTGTGACAAGAGAACCTCACCAACTTTTCCAAGGGCGTCTTGCTGTTACATTTTTCCCACAATGCACAGCGAAAATCGGCGGGAAATTGGTGGTAACTTCATGGTGTCGCACTGTATAATCTTTAGGCCTATTAAAATGTTTTTGATCCGGCCATTTCATAATCATGCTTGTTTCCATGGCTACTTTATAGTTACGCAGATATAAACTTTGATTTCTGTTTCGTCTTTCCATTCAGAAAACCAAGACGTTCTTGGCCAATAACAAGATCAGCATTGTCCGCGCATGCGCTGAGCAGACTTGCTCAGACAAGGGCTGCAAGACGTACGATGGCCAAACAGTGTGTGACCACTGTTGCTATGGAGATTTGTGCAATGGCGCACGCGTGTTGACCTTTGACACAGTTGTTATTGTTACTGCCGTCGTTTTGGCTTTTTTTTACTGAAGTTTAAATGAGGAGTTGTATTTTACACTGTAGGCCTTTTTGCTTGAATTTCGTGACAAGCATCAGAGTGAATAATGAAAATGTTCACAAAAATTTGAAAAGGATTTGCGTAAATTAATAGGTAACATGACTGATTAATGTGGAAACGTAACATAACCTGAGGTTATTTAAGAGACATTGACTTTTGTCATCGTGTGTGTGGGTTTGTATATATGGGAGCGAAACCATCATGCCGTAGGAAAGTTCAACCTCCATTAAACAATTTCGGTGACGTCACACTACTATTGCTCAAAATGTGAATACTTGAACCTCGCCATTATTTTATAATGTATATAGTTTGTGAACTTTTTGATTCTTGAATTTTTGACCATGCATTAAACTTTAAAAGAATAATAGGTAATTAAAAAGATACCTTATGTAAACAAGTATAAATAAATTTCACAATTTGCCAGTTAAGGGCATTCAATGTTTTTACTGTACAAAATAATTCTCAACATTCAGTTTTAGATGGTATGGTATCTGTACGACGAAACCATCAATTTTTATTTATTAAATTCTACCTGACCCTTAGTATGGGTTAGGTCTTGATAAGTGCGAGCTGCCTCGTGTGTTGTAGGGCGCCATCATTGTTAGCTGGTATCCCGCAGTCTGCTCAAACGTGCTTGCCTGATCCCTCGCTGGTGCCGTACCGTGAACGATCTCCATGAACCGTGACCCGCTACCGCTGCTCCCTACAAAGCTGCTGTCCGCTTGGGTGCCGGGTACAAACTCCTCTGTGGTTTGGTAAGGTGGTGGCCTCGACGTAGATGTGTCTAATGAAAATCACAAAATGGAAAAATCTGTAATTTTAAGCCGTTACCTTCACCATGCCACCCATATTAAGCTGTATCAAAAGGTAACCATTGATACCTTAAAGCAACATCAAATCGGTGTCCTAGGGAATGAAATATCTCAAATGTTGTTTCTACGTATAAGCAAAGAGGCACGTGTTTTATGTACACTGGAAGGAAATCAAAAGCACAGGCGTATTGCGTTTGGGTATCTAAATTTAGGTTACAGTCTAACGGCCTTTTTAACAAGTTCCTTAGGACTTTACAAATTATCTTGTTACCTTGTATTAACAGAATTGGAAAACAAAACAAAACAAAGACTTGGGACCTAAGATTTTGCTTGTTATAAGCAGGATGTTGTATTAACAGTGCTCTTCTGACTGTCGCATACGGTGTTTAAGACAATTAAGGTGACTTCAATTACTCGATCAAATACATTGCTATGTTAATAATGCAAGTCTTTGTTATTACCTGCCATGCATCCGGGTACTGTTGGGTTAAACCAAACATTTGAATCATAAGCTTGGTGACTGATGCCATTCTCGTAGCCTGGGGTGAATCTGAGATGACTGTGTCTATGGGCATCTACCAGGGCCTCGTTTGCTCTCATGAAACAGCCGTAGGTATCGGGTATGTCCCTTTGCGAATGGGCAGAGGGCGTACCGTACCCGGAATGTTGAACGGGTGGCGCCCCAATAAGCTCATATCCCGACGCGTATCTCGTGTAGCCAGAATCATCTGTTGGTAAATTGTAGTTCCCATACGGCAGTGGAAGGTGTCGGTGGCTATAATGTTGATGCAGGGGCTTGTAGGACGAGTGCGCATGACTGGAAGCATGTACGGGATAAAGGTCACAGTATGAATTTGCATACGCTGAGGAGAAGCACCCATTCTGGAACGGGTCGTCAGCAAATGGCGGGTGGCTGGTTACCGCTGGCTGTGCCTCCCTCTGTGAACCAAAGGGCCGAAATGCGTGGCTCGAGGATAAAATTGGATGATCAGACAGTGAACCTCCAGTACAAGTTTCCGAGAAATCGTCGTTTGCATGAAGAGCGCCCTCATCAAGGCTGGTAACCTGCTGAGAAGATACAGTGCCGCAGTCCTGGAACTCGGCATCTAGTCGCTGGTTCCCCTCTGCGGTGGTTAGGGGATCCTTCGGAGGTTCGTCCTCTAAAAGAAGAATGGAAAATCTTGAAACAAGGTTCATCAACTGTACATTGGGCTAGGCAATGCACAAACAAAGTTAGTATCGCTCAAGTTCTAACCCACGGTGGCAGATGAAACAACAGAGCATCTATTCCCTTGTTTTTATTTTCAAATGTTTATTATATCTTCTCACCTGTTTGGTTCGTTGAACACTTCCTCCGCTTGGTTTTCACGGCTGCTGACCCAGGTGATGACCTCTGAAGCGATGACCTCACTGTCGCTTTGGTACAGATTTCCTCTTTTAAACGATAAGATATCTTATGATATATCACGGCTTATATCCCTAACTGAAGTCTTCATTCAAGTAAATTTTGTTTTGACCTCGTGCAGTGATTGAATTGGAAAAATATATATCTGGACATTTTTCTTTTTAAGTATTATAAGATAATAAGTATTTAATGACATTTGTTTTATTAACTTTGTAAAGCGCATTGAGATTGTGTCAACGATGTAATGCGCTATATAAGAATAAATTATTATTATTATTATTATTATTATAATAGATTGAGTCACACTGTACTGATAACAGGACGGTAGAGGGCGCTCTTAGGGTTAATACGTTGGTGGCGCTGTTAATTCTTACCAGTTTGTTTCATGTTCCTCTGAACGTGGTCCACCATCTCTGCGTGATGATATTGGTCCTGTTGACTCTCCACCACCAAGAAGGCATACTCAGTCAGCATCATGTGGATCAGATGGAGTGATCCTACAATTGTTTTTAACAATCACCATGAATGAAATGAGAGCTTGTCTAAAATGTGAGACTATATTTTGAAGAAAATGGGTTTTTGTAGAGGTCAGCAGCAAACACAACTTGTTAGGAAAGACTTGAAGTATCATAGATCAAGTCCCAATAACGAACTCTCCGTACGTAATTTGGCTTAACAGCCGACGATGTTGTAGCTTTGCAATTGGCTGAATTCCATACAGGTACTGCCGGCTTAGATAAGTATTTTGGGACGCAAACGTAGTTACTTACCAAAGCTTGCAGCTCTTTGCAGAGTAAGATCTCTCATTATCTTAGACGTGAAGAACGACCATTGGAGGATGAAGGAGGCAGATCGACTGGAGTAATCTGTCTCTGTCATCTTCTGCATCAAAACAATAAGACGGAGAACTACATGCATTAATTTGGAGAAAATCTTTACTCTTTTCGGTTATTATTTTCAAGAGAATTTACAATTCATCGTGAATCAGCTGGTTCAGGGAACGCAGAAGCTATTGAATTGGCAACTCTCAGGCCTAAGTTAGTATTGAAAAATGTCGCAACCAAAAAAAGTAATAACCTAAATATTGTGAATGAATAACAGCATTTTGGTTCGATGATTAGATGATTTGGTTTCCTTATTAAGTTTTGATGTTTAAAAGGTTAACAGCTGCATGTGCTGCTTTGTATTTTTAAATAAATATAATGAACATAATACAAGTTCAAATGGCGTAATACCTGCAGAACAAATCTATCGATGAGGCTGTCGATCCATTCAATGTATGCCTCAAGTGGAGCCTGCTTGGCCAGCAAACCTTTAAACTCCTGTAAAACTAAGAGTTTAAAGGAAATAATCTTAAAAGGTATTAACGAAACGTCGTTTCTAATCTTGACCAAAGTGGTATTGGAACATTGACAAGAAGTCTCAAACATTTCATTACATATATTAGTTGCTACATAGCTTAATTAATTTTAACAAAACAATTCTTATGAGCACTTTTCATTGTTTGGTGAAAGACAGGTATCAATTACAATCCGTGACAGTCAATGATTTGCAAGTTTGACCTCGTTTTGGAGTCAATGTGGCGAATACATAACAAACGGAAATGATGACGTAATGGGCAACCGCGATCCAAGATAGAGAAGAAACTATTGAGACAAGTAATAAAAGGCCTACCCGCTTTGGCAGCATTAAAAGCTGATTGGCTGACATCTGCTTGCGTCATATTTCCGTTGAAATTCAGTTCCGCGAGATCTCGCGTCATTTGGCTGACGGTTTCTTGGCTCAGCAAGACACTTCTTGCGGTCTGTGATTACAAATAAAAACAAATACAGCTGAAACGTTTCACCAGTAACCAAGTAGACTTACCCAAAATTAAAGACCATGTTTTATGTTCTATCAAGGGGGCAAACAACTTCCACAGCTCCTTTTTCATGTACTACGCAAAGAAGTACTTATTATGGTTATACCAATCCATTTTGTTTTTTGGAAAGGTAACCGAGGGTTTTCTTCACATCTTAATTGTCATTAAAATCCTCCTGATTGGGACAGGCAAAATGTGTCAACCAAAAAAATAATAGGTTTTTACCTGTGCTAACTGCACGAAAGATGTCTGTCTGCGTAGACTTCTTACGAATGAGGAGAGCACTGCGAATAAAATCAATAACGAAGAAGTCATCCACATCACTTCATAAATCGGAAAAGATATCCCAATACAAATACTTGGAATTATCATTCTCTACAAAAAAACACACACAGTCTGTGTCACCTTTCATTTTGCGCACGCGAAGTTCCTTGCACATTTGATCCAGAGAACTGTCCAGCCAAACCGGCAGTTTCTTCGCAAAGGTACGGATGTCAAAGCTCAATCCTTCCGGTATGTCTTGGATCGTGGATGGTATCAAGACATCTGCCAAGACCTAGAGAATTCCCGAAAGGAGATTGGTAAGGCTCATGGAGTGCAATGACTTACAATAATACATGTTCATACAAATAAAAATATACTGTGTGGACTGGACAGTCCACTGGTTTGTTTAATCAAGACCTTTTGCGAGTATACCTTGTATAAAACTGAGTCACAGAGAGCAATGACGTCAATGATGACGTCAGAGGAAAGGAGCGACTGCATGTGTTTGGGCATCCCCTGCCAGAAATGTAGCAAAAAGTTCTGCACCTGTAAGAAAACGTCATGACACTATTATGCTGCATGCCGAATCGATAAATCTCTTTCGTTTTGCATACAATGCCCTTATGGAGCAACAAAGGTATTGACAACATAACCTAAAACATCAAATCAATTCGTGAACTAATATCATTGAATTGTTTTAACTATTTACCTCTTCAAAATTTGAAGAGACAATGGTGTCCAAAATACGCTGGCAGTGTGTTTGATACATCAACAAGAATGTTTCTACCTATAAAAGAAGAAAAAGAAAAACATTACTACTCATCCAAGGTCTATTCCATCAGATGAATTTTAAATTAACCATGCTATTACAAAAGTAACAGTAAATCATGCTGACTAGTATACCTTTTCTGCGCTGATGTCATCGGGAATTACCAGATTGCCTGCCGTTGGAAAGTCTGGGAGCAGGGTACCAGACTTGGAGCTCAGGGAAAACTTTCGTGCAGACCCCTGCGTCAAAGGTTGGATATGTCCAATAACATTGTAGTTACTTTCAGCAATTCAGAAACAAATGTCAAGTCACGTGACGTCATGTTGACACAATTCATGAATGGGGTCAACAAGTTTCGTGTGGTAACGATAAGTATTTTTATGATCCTCCGCTTTTCACTTTTTAAAAATGTAATACATTTAGTGTTTCTTCACATCAACATACTATTATCAAGATTAGCTCATTTAGTTTTATATAGGTCTCTTACCTCTGTTTTCACTTTGGTTTCCGAAAATCTGTAAATGGAAGAGTTTACAATAATTATCGCAGTTGATTTGTGACTAGCTATATACAAAGGTAGACTGTGACTACAGCTACAACAGTAGATTTCACAGATACCAATAATAAACTCGGTTTTAAATTTAAGAAAGAAATGACACTGTGTTCACATACTCGTCCTAACAAAATGAGTACATACCTGCTCAATCCTTTGCCTGAATACACCGAGTGGTAGTATATGGACGTCTTCTTGATGCCTATGCCGTAATAGTGGTATCTGCAGACACGTGACGATATAATAAATATTCTTGAAATTAAAGTTTCGAAATCTTTTTCTGATGACGCTCCATAGCATTTTATAAAAACGGGCCAGTTTTGAATCAACTGAAAACAAAGTACATGTACACTCACTTGGATTGTCCTCTGGTACCTAGTCGTCTCGTGGTCAGTTTAGGAAACATCTGACGAATAATCTATGAAAGAAAATCCATCAGGAATTAAGGTCTGCCTCATCATGATTGTTTAGGCCGCTTAGCTTGACGCACAGCCGTAGCGAAGTAATTCGTGCGCGGCCTATTCGATCGTGAAATTGACAGTTTTTATATGGTTGGAGAACTCTATTATGTTGGTGGCAGATCGGGAAATGGAAACTTTGGACGCTTGGTGGCAGTAGATAGCATTTAACTCATCCAAAGGCATCAATACAGTGCATGCATGGAGCGCTAGGGGAAGGGACATAAGTCATGTTTTATTGTTTTAATTGAAGTCAGGATCTGTAATTTTCATGAAAAGGCTACTAAAACACTTTTATAGCTGCTAAGATGACGGCCATCTTGCATGTGGCTGACGAAGGTGACATGCTAGAGGGCGCTATCAAAAACACTGACGTACCTTTCCAAACGTGGCTGCTCCAGCGGGAGTAAAGAGTCGTTTCTTGCAAAGGTCCAAGTAGTGTGTGTACAACACACATCGAGGTAGGCAAACGCCCTCGGATCGCTCGTAGTTTTCGTTCAACCTTTTGGGGAAAAATTCAAAAAATGTGAAAACCATGCCTAACTACATGGTGTTTATGCCTTTTCCCCCTATAACTATACATCATATTTTCTAGACTGGCAGAGCTTGACAGATCAAAAACAGCATGAAGCTTGGCCCGATTTTTACTGTATTTTACACAAGGTTTAAAAGAAGGCGCCATTATTTTGTGTCCAAGAAGGAAACTAATTCTTGTTTATTACGTCACGATTTACTATGTTTTGTTTGCTGCCCCCAACGACGACTTTTACACAAATTGCACGTTCGGGTCGATACAAGACCTGAAAAACAGCTCTCAAAAGTACCTTTTGTACTCATTTCATGACAGACACAATAGTCGTTTTTATTTCATCACACCTTAGGCTACATATACCCGAAAATGACGGAAATGTCTTCGAGCATTCCACAACCTCTTTAAACTCTGTGTGGAGCTATTGTTACTTACCATCGTAAGGTTTCATGGAGTTGTGTCTGACCGGTTTGGTTTGCGTCCGTTTCGTCCGGTTGTTCTAAGGACTGGCCGTCTGGTTCGAGTTGGTTCGACATATCCAGCTAGGAAATAATATTTCTAAAAACCCTCAACCTTTAGCCCAATGCCAAAACCCATATGAAAACCTACGTATTTCAGTAATAATTCTAAAGAAACAACTTTCATGTAAGGCCGTCATCATTGTTGCCAAGCTTGTTTTTTTTTTTTCGCTTTTCGCTGATAACAGAATGATGCCCCTGCCCCTTCCCCACCCCCACAAAAAAACATCCAACCAACCAACAAACCAACAAACCAACAAACAGATAAATAACGTGAAAGAGAAACACTTACCTTCCAATATAGGCGTTTCTCATGCGTTTGAAAGATTTGATTCCACAGTCTTCATACTAACATTACCGAGTTACTAAATTACCTTCGGTCGCGACTGATGTGTATGACGGTGTTGGAAGCATCCAATATGGCTCACTTGATGTCGATTAAAAATCTGATGTGTCTTGCGATCAATCAAAATACATTGTGTCTAGATTGTATGCGATCAAAGTTATGACATGTACACATTGCCCAGCCGCATTATGACGTCAGACGGATCAGATGTGACTCTTGATTGGTTCATTTACAGAGTGAAGTAAAAAACGCAGCCAATATTTTCGACGGAATTATGAAACGTCCGTGCATAACCTTTCTTCTGTAACACTTTCTATTCGCGGTTAATCAGATTAAATTCCCTGCGGATATCTGCAAACATGGCCGCCTCGAATGGACGCCTGGCGCTAATGCGCGTGTCAACACTCAAATATTGACGAACAAAAACCACGGGGTGTCTAGATTAGGAGAATTACATGGACAAACGTACACATAATGCAGTGGTCAATGTTGACTCGAGATGTGGAGTTTTCTCTCAGCTTTACCGCAGAGTTTCATGGGGAAATCTAAATCTGTACAACGCACCTCATGGCTGAATAGTGTGCTGGTATATGACCTGTGCTATCAACTTTCTAAAGCCCAAGAACAGTATTCTAGGAGCGTGTTAATTACTTATGAATGAAATCGTCCCAAAAGTAATTAAGAGCGGCGAACCCTTTGAAAGTGGAAAAGCAGGAGAAATTACTTGAAACAATACAACTTAATTAGTTCCATGCATGAAGCATAACACTGCAAATGATAGAGCACAAAACATAGTATAAGTGGAACAGAATGGCCTTCACAGTTCACATCCGAGAAATCTTAGTTTCTTTGTGATACGCATAAGTCGACATTCACTTTCTTTGTCACTGAATTTAAATAACAAAACCAATCCACAGTGAGGCGGTCTGAGTATCACCCGTTATCCACGGGGCCAAGTGCTGTATAGGCTTTCGCCATGGTTTATTACATAGACTACAGTGTGAGGTCGCTCTTAGCTGAAAAATCCCTCTCATGAATGACTTGGACAAATTTATGAACAAACAGCGACCGAGGGAACAAAGCTTTAATGCTGGGAGGGATTAGGGACGGTAATAAAACCACGATTTGTTGACCAAACAAACTCAGAAATTCCAATGTTAAATGTGGCGGCGCCTTTTGATGGTACGACCTCATGCTCGTTATTTACATTCGGGAAGCAAAAGTGTATTCAAAGGCTTGCACTTTACAAACAAATATCGGTGGGGCATTTTCCCCCATGCCAGTCAACTTTCATACTTGCTCCCACTTATTTTGTGCATGGAGGTAGGTATAGGTATTCCTACATCTTTTTTTAGGCGAAATCTGTTAAAATATCTACGTATAGCATCACTGAATGTGAAAAACAAGACAATGACACACTTTGATAATATTCATGAAAAACCTTTCCCGGTTGAAACGGTAAAACAGACAAAAAATACCAGTGATTTGTCAGCCATAGTTAATTCTTTAACCATTACGCAAGGATTTCGAAACCTTTAATCCACAAGATTTGCTTGAAATACATGATCAAATGGTTTCCTCTCGAGCGATCCCTGCACTTCTTGAATTTCGTACAGTCCTCTAGCTCTGCAGGCCTAGCCTAGCGCGCGCCGTCCCGACGAACTTTTTTAAAGTGCGCCCTCTGTCGTTCACTAATTTACAGTTTAAAAAAAACTGCTCATTAGTGAACGACAGAGGGCGCAGTGCAAACGTTTTCGAAGCGTCGTTTTCCGATACCCACGTTTGTCGTAAGTAAACTTATTAAATCCAACATAATCTGTCAAATAAAGCATAATCAGGGAATACTTGTAAGATAAATGTGTTGAGTGTGAATGTGCAGGATAAAATGTGTCCATTTTGATCGATCGAAAGTTGTATTTTAATCCAGAATTTGTCTTCTCACATCGTGCTTTTTGTGTTCTTTTACTGTAGAGCTAGCTATCAGTGTTGGAGCAAAGGCTTTGACCCTCAAGGCCAAGGCCAAGGCCAAGGCTTTGACCCACAAGGCCAAGGCCAAGGCCAAGGCTTTGACCCTCAAGCCTCGAGGCCAAGGCCAAGGCTTAACCCTCAAGGCCAAGGCCAAGGCCAAGGCCCTGTTTTATGAAATGACCACTGATATAGAACTAATTATAGTCACATGAGTGACACATCAACACGCAAGGGCGGATCCAGAACACAATTTTTTTTGGGGGGGGGGGGGCAAAGAAATTTTGGTCTCCCCAAAAAAAGTGGGTCAAAAAATTACGGCTTGGGCTTCGGGGCCCCCTTAAGGGCCCCGAAAAAATTTTGGATTCGAGATGCTCTGAGGCAATTTCTGACCATTTTAACCGATGGTTTTTTAGGAAAAGATGGTGGTGTACTCATTGCCTGCCTTTATTACGACGTCACATACAAAAAAATGGTTTCGGTTTTTTTTGGTTGGGGGGGGGGGCCTGGCCCCTTTTGGCCCCCCTGGATCCACCCTTATCATCACGAATTGCTCGTTACGAAGAACAACATTTCTTTAATTGCAATCAACATGCTCGCATAGGCCTACACCGTTTTATGACTGCACTGTATCTATTAAAGTATAAGTTCAGGTCTTCAATATGGTTTAACTAAACAAAATAATGATTTACCTCTATATTGACACACAATTCTCCCAAGTGTAACAAAAGGGGGATCCAAGAAACTGATTTGGGAAATTTTTATTTGCTGGCCCAACATGGTCAGAAATATCAGCATTATCTAAAACAGATACATGCAAATCTTTAGCACTTATCAGGGAGACATATACAACCAATCAGATCTATTCCATAGTTATATGCAATTAAAGTGATCATCTCATTAGCCCCACAAGTGTACGGAATATTTTTTGCAGCAAATCTACTACAATGGTAACAAAATGTGATGCTACAAAAGTGGAATTGTGCCCAACACTCAAATCTATAGGGTGCTTCCCTCCTCCATGGTATTACGATTAAAATGGTAACAGCAAAATTTCGAACAGATTTATCTGAAAAATGCAAAAATCTATGGGCCTTGAAGAGCCTTGACTCAAAATTGCAAGGCCCTGAACCCTCAAGGCCAAGGCTAAGGCCAAGGCTTTTGCCCTCAAGCCTCGAGGCCAAGGCCAAGGCCCTAAAATCCAGCCTTAAGGCAGCCTTAAGGCCAAGGCCCAGCATCAAGGCACTACATCACTGCTAGCTATGCACACGCAATTTATCCCTTAAGTAACGTCATAAAAACACGTTTTATTCACTAATTTCACTCTTTTTTTCAGAAGTAAACAGTCAACATGAATGTCCCTCCAAATCAGACGATTTACATCAACAATTTGAATGAGAAGATCAAAAAAGATGGTAAGAAAATTAAAATAAAAGGGTTTTTATTAAAAATTAATTAAAATTGTTTGCCTTCCCATATTCCCATAATCTGTCAAATAAAGCATAATCAGGTAAATAGTTGCCTTCCCTTTCCAATTGCGGATGCATGAGATCTGCTTGCTGACTAGTTTTGAAAGATAACAAAGCAGATGAATGCGGGACGTGGTAACCATGGTAACTGAATCCGCACATGCCGCATTCTGCAATTTTTGATCTAATCAAAAGAAGATCATGAAGATAGACAAATTTTGCATTTCCTTCAAAATATGAACCTTTTCCATGTTTCCTTGATTTCGTACCATGATATGATTTTACACACTTGTGGTGAACTGGTTATCTATCGAAATAAACAGTTCACCACATAAACAGTTGAAGCACTTGAGCAGGCTTGTAGGCTTGATTCCGTGGCCTTCGAGTTTGTAAAAAGTGCAAGATAAAAATGCTGTGAGGAGGCTTATTACTGACAGATCTCTACGTGGCTGTTGGTTTACAATCAGCAAACATACCAACCGATCAGTTTGGTTTTTCAATAGAGCTGTATGGTATTTTTAATTTAATTACAAGTATTTTTTAATAAAATACCTTTCATGTCTTACCTGTTTACCTATTTCTGTCTGCAGAGTTGAAGAAATCCCTCTACGCCATCTTCTCTCAGTTTGGTCAGATCCTTGACATCGTTGCCTTGAAGACGCTCAAGATGAGGGGACAGGCATTTGTCGTCTTCAAGGACATCAACAGCGCCACCAACGCCCTCAGGTCCATGCAGGGATTTCCCTTCTACGAGAAGCCCATGGTGAGTATAGCAGCTAGAAACCCTGCTAAACGCTGCAACACTCCAGCCTACTCAGTGTAGCAAGATCCATCAGGAAATTCTGAAGACTGTTACTGCCTCAGAGTCTGTGGACACCAACTATAGCAGGATACAACTGTGGCATTGTTCAATGAGTTTAGCTCTCATTGTCTCAGAATTGGCCGTTTATGCACTGGTGTTGATGGCTCAGTGCAGTAAGGTCCCACGGACTTTTACACCTGCTGCGCTGTGTCGAGTGTTAGGATTAAATTCCAGTATTTCTACAGAAACTCCACTCCAAATTTGGTATACATGTATTAATTTTCTTGGTAATTTAGCTTTTAATATGGTCTTGTCAAAGCCACCACTGATGAAAATTTCATTGCAGTTTTTGACTTTTGTGGTGTTTCTTGTTATAGATGGCATGATTTTACCTTCCTAACTTCTTCGAAATCTAGTGGATTTGTAAGATATCAGTGACTCAAGGTTGTTTGACAAGGCTGGAGTTAAGGTTAGAGTTAGCATCGTGAATGTTTCCTTAGAATTTAATAATTTGACTTGTCATGTGTCTTGCAGAGAATACAGTACGGCAAGTCGCAATCGGACGCAGTGGCCAAGCTGCAAGGCACGTTCGTCCCCAGAGAAAAGCGGCCTGAAAAGAGGAAGCCAGATCCTGCGCCAGGTACATTACTGAGCCCCTCCTCCTTGCCCCAACCCCCCTTTCCACCTGCCCCTTTCCCACGTCATCCCATCCCAAATAAAATCCAAACCATCCTTGTCCAAATGAAAGCATATAAATCGCTGTGTACGGTGATAGTTTTACAGTTGACGTTTTTGAAAAAAGTTAATTCATTCGAATTACAAGAAAAACGTGAGATATGAAAAACTGCCGCAAACCATCATCGTAAAATTGAAGGGGTCTGACATTTCTAGCTGGGCGTTCCTCCATGAGGATCTTTCTGAAATGTAAGAAGATTATTCTGGGAAGAATGTGTGGACAAATGCTCAACTCAAGATTTCAATGTTTTGGATTAGTTCAATAATTTTAAGGGAAAAAGTGTTGCAACCTGACGCCACTTTTTTTTTCATATATCATCTCAATAAAGTCAGTCATTGCAAAAATTATGATAAGACGTGAATCTGGGACTGAGAAACATTTCCACTTTCGTTAGGAAATGGCAGCAGGTTGCAACATATTGTCCCATTTTAAGCACTTGAGCAGGCTTGTAGGCTTGATTCCGTGGCCTTCGAGTTTGTAAAAAGTGCAAGATAAAAATGCTGTGAGGAGGCTTATTACTGACAGATCTCTACGTGGCTGTTGGTTTACAATCAGCATACAAACTGGTCATCTGAACCAAAATCCATCAATTTCCATCAAATAGCCAATCCATCAAAAACTTGACTTGATGGATTTACTTAAGTCATGACACTTAGTATAAAAAAAAATGTATTGTTGGTCTCCTGCAGAGGTGGTTCCAAAAACGTTTGTAGAAACTTTGATACACCTGAAGAACAAGCGAAATTTTTTGTTTTATTGTTTGGTGTTCCAAAAAAAAATTTCATTAATGCAATTTCTCATGTTTCTAGTACAACTTCTTTTTTTCATAAATTGCAAGGACTTCCTGCACTGGAATTTTCGTATTATTTATCAAAATCAAGGCGGAATGAGACTTGTAGAGTAAAATCTGGGGAAAAAATGGGAAAAAGGCAGTACACTGTGGGAGTGTCGGCTTTTCAAATGTAGCTGTCTTGTTATCGTCATCTTGTCTTCATGACTAGATGTCAAAGCCTCTCGTCTTGACACATTTTTTTTACTCAACTTCAATTGCCACTTCATTCTTTCTCATCGTCTTCTTCTTTCATGTTCTTGTAGTTCAAACCAAGAAGAGCAAGAAGCAGGAGGCTGCCAAGCAGAATGCCCTGGCGGCCGCCATGAGCCAAGGCCCTCCCCCCATGATGGGACAGATGCCCCCCAACATGATGGGACAACCCCCACCCATGCAGATGCAACAACCACCAGGTATGTACTGTCAGACTTAGGGATTTATAGTCGTGATAACGCCCTCTCTCGCGTATCAAATCATAACGTCGTCTAGCCCCTAGACTAGATCTGGCCTAAGACCTTGACACATTCATCCTCCAAATCAGCCAAATACGTTTTTGCCGTATAGCCTCAATCCTGCAAAATCCTCCATTTTGCAAAGAGCATTTTGGAGGATTTGCGAAGGTTAGAGTCAAAGCTATTTTCAACAGGCAAAATGTGGAAGAAAAGATGGATGTTTGTTTATGTCGGCAAATGTTTGTATGATGATATTTGTAGCATTAGTGTTCTACTCCACAAATTGTAATACTTTGTCATTGCATTGAGAGTACATTTCTAGGAGCTAATTCAGATGTTTTTGTTGTTTTCTTGTAGCTATGCCTCTTCCAGACCAGCCTAACGCCATTCTTTTCCTCACCAATCTGCCGGAGGAAACAAACGAGATGATGTTGAAGATGCTCTTCACGCAGTAAGTCAAAATATCTTGCTTTATTTTCTTTCGATTCAACGCAGAACTGGTATCCTATCATCTGAACTGTCCAGCCTTTGGGCTCCTTGCTCAAGTACCAGTGCGAGAGAAAGATAAGCCTTACAGTGACACCAGAATGTATTATTTACTGCCGTTCATCTGACAATCATGGGAAGATGATATTGGTTTATGCTAGGAGTGTGCATTACAGGAACCAGGTACCCAATTGAAAAAAAATTCCAAAATTTAAATCTCAGAAGTTGCTGTTGGGATTGTTCATAAATGTCCACATGATAATACTACGACATTGGTGTGTCAGTGCAGAAGATACAAGCGTGTACAGTGAGCCTTATAGCTTTACGGTGTAAATTGCAACTTCCGCGAGAGTCATAAACATGAAATGTTTTGTTTTCCCGTGTAGCCTGACTTTCATTTTGAAAATTCCCCACCCGATCCTAAATTCTGGAACCAGTTCCTGACGTCAACAGTGGGGTACTCGGGTACCCAGTTCCGATGCACAGTCCTTAGTTAGCGCACATTCAGAAACACCAGTACTAAACAATATTTACTTCCTAATGAATCCATATCACCGTAGAGCACTGGGGCAGTGAAGGACAGTTCAGGAAGGGCAGATTCGGGATAGTAATTGACCTTGTTGGACATTCCATTCTTCTCATTTGCTTGCACTAAATAAATCAAATATGATTTCCTATCCCCAGATTCCAGGGTTTCAAGGAAGTGCGACTCGTACCCGGTCGTCACGACATCGCCTTCGTGGAGTTCGAGAACGAGACGCAATCGGGAATAGCCAAGGAGGCCCTACAGGGATTCAAGATCACGCCAACGGCAGCCATGAAGATCTCATACGCCAAGAAATAAAACAGAAACGTCGGCTGCGATTCTTTGTCAACGGGAGAGGAACTCTTCAAAGTGTACCGGAGAGACTGTGCATTTTGTTACTGCAGCCTTGACTGGCACTGCAAATAGGCCTGTGGTATGTTGGAGCCTGTTCACATGGGATTTTGAGTTTTAATGCTTATCCTCCAGTCCTAGACGCTTCCAAATCCAACACTAGATTTTCAGTGATTTTGAAGGATGCACAATGTACTACGTAGCCAAGTCACTATTACTAAATAGGTCTCTCTCAATTGACGTCATTTCCTACAGACCAGCTACGTGCATCAGCATTTCGAGCGTCAACTTGCATAATGCGCATCGGCTGCGTCGTATTTTGAACACATTTCGAATAACAAGCGCGTGTTTGGAACATTTTCAACACTGTGCAATGCGTGCTTGATTGCGTAAAATACGCAGTTGCAGTTCTCCTACGGAGATGGCCGTCTTTGAGAGAGAACTGCATGTATACAGGCGTAATCTCACTTTACATTGTCAGTACAAAGAGGAGTGATTGGGTTCTTTTATAACTGTGACCTGTTCCGTCAAAATCAGACATTTCTGGGCATAAGGTCAAAAATGAGATTTTTGCTTATTATTAAAATATGTACTTTTTCCTTTTTAATAGGTGGTTGAATTTTTGAAACCGGTCACTCCTGGGCAAAGTTATGCTATTTTGAAGTTTATCGTGTCGAAAAGTAGAAAACAGAGAAAACGGCAGTTAAAGTTTGGGGTCTATTTTAAGACTTGTTTTAAGTGACATATCTTTAACTGATATACCTTAACAAATCATCAAAAACACTATACTTAGAGTTCAAATTAGGGTTTCAAACTTTTATATTATATTTTAGACATGTTCAGGATAACAAATATGCAAGAATTAGAAAATCCAAAAAAAAAATCACCCCCACGGCGTTTTTTGGCCCTATCTCAATTTCAACCTCTGCCCAGAAGCATCTGCTTTTGACAGAACAGGTCACATTTACCGTGCATAATTGGTCTAGTTTTCTCTAACACAGTGTGTAAATACTTTTTTTTTATATTAAGCTGTTTATTTACTCCAAATTAACTTTAAAAAAAGAAGAAAGTCTTCTGATATACTGATATTGTGTATGTCGATGTTGCATTGCACCCTGGCACATTGGCGTTTGATTTCTCTTTCAGTTAAACACAGTGGAGGCCTCAAGTTGTCGGCTTTCATTCTTTACTTGACAGTTTTGCTCCTGTAAGAAAAAAAAAGGTGAATATCTTGGACACATTATGATTCTTGGCATGTCAAATTTTTTTTTTCTGATAATGTTGAAAATTATGAAAGAAAAAAAAAGGTTATGGATATTTACTTTAACAGAAAAAAAGTTTGTTAGTTTAAAAAGTACACAACAGGGGGAAACTTGTAAATATAAAATTGATTTGAAAACTATTTCTATTTTGACTTAAATGCGGGCGTGCAACTTTTCCTCGGATCCGCTAATTTCCTCGTTTTTAACTTCTCATGAAGGCCATTACAAATTGAAAAATACTGTTCAAAATCTTGTGTGGTTTGAAAATTCCTCGGTTTTTTTCCTTCTAAAATTCCTAGTTGTATGCCTGTTATTGAAAAAGTATTATTTGTCTTTGCATTGGAACAAAAAAGTTTTCCGTTACAAAATGACTGACTGATTGTCAAGAGGCCCACCATACCTGGGCATATTTTGTTTTGATGTTGTGTTCTCTGGTTGTCGATGCGGCATTGCACCCACCGTGCATTGACAATCATCTTGTTTGCAGATTGGCTGGTGGGCGGCCCACGGCTGCTTCATCGCGAAGGGCTACGGCTAGCATAACAATCATCCAAATTATAGGAAGGTATACATGGTGAGGTATCTATGGGTAACGGTCTATGGAATAGCCGCTTGCATTCTCGCAAAGGGCTACGGCTACCATTACAATCATCTAAATTATAGGAAGGTATACATGGTGAGGTATCTATGGGTAGCAGTCTGTGGAATAGCCGCTTGCATATCAGCGTCTGCGACATTCGTGCAGATTCGGTGATTAATTATGCAAAACAAGACTGCGTCTTGACTTCGAGATTCTGACCAATCAGCGGGCGCCTTCTAACGCGTTTGCTGTAACCCGTGTTGTATTTTAAAAGCATTGCATGCAAATTGACCAATCAACAGCTTGGTCCACATTTCTGATCAAAATGACATCACAGTTTATACAGTCGACTCCGGTTGGCTGGTGCGCCAAAACAGTGCAATTGCATGCAAATTGACCAATCAACAGCTTAGTCCACATTTCTGATCAAAATGACATCACAGTTTCTAAAGTGGACTCCGGTTGGCTGGTGCGCTAGGTTGCATACAATTTGCATGCTACGATATACAGTCGAATCTCGTTTGTACAAACTCTGTCAATACCAAATTCTGGTTATAACAAACATAAAGCCTAAGTCCCAACTGTGCATTTATATGCACAATGATGGGACTGATGTTCCTCTTAATACAAAATACTGATATAACAAACAATTTGGCTAGGTCTGAACGAGTTTGTTATACAAGACTCAACTGTACATGTATCAGATGTATATCAGTGTGCAGCTATTAAGCGTAGGGCAACTGTTCTTCTAGTGCAAAACATATGTTTAGTGATGAGTTTATGTCAATGGTTCATGTACCAGAAATTTACTATAGACATTTATCATGCTGCCACCATTTCAGTCATGTTCCCTGTATCCAACAAAAGTACTGAATGATAATGTTTTGTGCAAAAAGGAACCAGACTATTTTTCCTTTCAGCCTTGCTTTGGTTACGTTGATTTGAATGGGAAAAATCAAGATGGCCCCAACATGAAAATGGTCTATTCTCGTCAATTCATTTGTTTCAAAGTCTCTTATGTGTTGAAGTGTAACAAATCATTGATTCAAGCATTTAATACCTTTACGTCTTAGTTTTAAAAATTTGGTGGTCTTGGTAAAGAATTTTTGTATTCCATATTATTTCATTTGTCTGATGAATAAAAAAATATGTAAATAACTCTTGAACACCCTTTTCAGTCACTTGTAAAATTATTTGTGGTTTACAATTTCGATTTTTGTTGTATATGTGTTTGTGTGGATTGGGGCTGATGAAAAACCCACTCATCCTAAAATCTCGCAAAGTACCAGCTGATGTTTGCAATTAAGTACAAACCTCTGAATTTATTCATCCTTTACAACATGTTAATACAAACGCGGTGTGATGTACATGTCATTTAATTAGGAAAAAATGTAATATCCAGGCGCCACTTTTTGTGGTTGTGTACAAAGTCTATAGAGAGTAAAGTGCATGTTCAAAGTATTTTTTAACAAAATTGGAAATGTTTTTCAGTCCCAAATTCATGTCTGCAACATTTTTGCAATGACTGACCTAGCTTCATTGAGATAATATATGATGAAAAAAGTGGCGTTAGGATGCAACATTCTTTCTATAATTATTGCAAATGTCCTTTGTAGAAAATGATTCACTGTCTTTTTTCAAAGGCAGTGCATAAGAGTAGTCTGCAATCTGCAAGTTGATACACTTTCTTCTGCAGAACTAAATACATCAAAATTACACAATAACTGATAACGGGTTTTGAAGGATTTTGTTGGGTTTTAAGCATTGCCCCAATGTGTTAAAACAAATAAAATGCCTATTCATTCTGAACAACAAATCCTCTGAACACAACTATTGATTTGTAACGCTATTAAAAATGATAATTTATATAATGTAAGGCGTTTATGTCTTCCAGTGCAGTGTCTCTATTCTAACAAATCAAAAAATAAATCCTGCATCAAAAACCGGATGCAACCTTGAACCATTGAATAATACAACATTTAAAATTTAAATGTAACAAGTTCATTTGCTCTATCAAAACAACTCGATTGCTCCATCAAAACAACTCGATCCCAAAAAAAAAAAAACTTAACTGACAAACACACTTAATACGTTTATCACATAGATGTGTAAAATCATGCACACACTGTTTTCCTGTTAAGCATTAGGAATGCAGTGTGCATGGACTAAATTTAAGACTCGTGTTTGAATGGTAAAAATACACCTACAAAAGAATAACCTATGTATTAGCTCGATAGGTTAATGTGTCAAAATAAAAGCTACTAGAAAAGAAAACAAAAATCAACCTCTTCAATGAAAGAACTAACGGACAATAATGCTAACTTTTATTGTCAAGCTGTTCAAAAATACGATTCAAGAATCAACAAAGTACTAGAACGGTATAATCTCCCCCCTCCCCTCAACTGTTAAAAATAGGAACACACTCTTATTGAAGCGGGAGGGGGAGGTACCCTCACCCCTCCCCCACTGGCAACCTACCCGACGCCAACAAATGTTCCCATGAAGCCTCCTATATGATTGCATAGGGAACATTCCAAATGCCAAGTTTTTTAGAATCCCCCCCCCCCCTTCTTCTGCCCCTCTCCCATTTGACTGTTGACCTGCTGAGGTGCCTCGTCATGTCTTGGTCTCGGTCTTTCCCCCAGTGCGGCTGCCAAACAGACTCCGTATCATGATGACCTGGATCACGAAAGTGCTCATCATGACGACGGTGGTCAGTATGGACCAGAACGAGACCCGCTCGTAGTTCCGCTCGGCGAGGTAGCGGTCTCGGAACTCCACGTTGCGCAACAGACGCTGCGTCTGGACTGATTTGTGTAAGTTGTCGCGGACAATGCCTAGGGACGTCTGAAAAGAAGGAATAAAAATTGTTAAGGAGGGGTCATCTAGGGGAGGGGTCTTCAGGGACGGGGCTTCAAGGGGAAGGCTTCAACAGGTGGGGCATTCTAGCGCGGCCTACTGGGGGAGGGGCCTTCAGGGGGAGGGGCTTTAAGGGGAGGGCTTCAGTAAGAAGGGGCCTTTAAGGGGAGGGAGCCATGTGGAGGCGCAAATTGGGAGGGGCCTTCAGGGAAGGAAACCTCTCAGGGGGAGGGATCATTAGAGGAGGGGCCATAATGGGGGCCTGCAGTGGGCGGGACCTTCTGAAGGAGGGGCCTCCTGGGGGCAGGGCCATCAGGAGGGGCCTTCCAGCAGCACCTCCTCCTCCCCCCTCCCCTTCCAATGGAACTGCTGCCTCACCTGGATTTCTTCAAGTCGTACTTCCATTGTGTCGGTTCCTCCCCCCGTCCCAGTCATCAAATCCATCCATGGAGGTTTCCTTAATTCTTCATCCTCGTCATCATAATCCAAGGCAAGGTCAAAATACACCAGCTATCAAGAAAATCAATCATTTTTTTCATCAACTTAACCCAATGGAACACTGAGACTTTTATTCGACAACAGAATTGTGATCAATATGCCATCAAGTTTCAAATGGTTATAAAAGCTATCCAAATGAATAGTGACAAATACACATTGCCTAGTAAAATGACCGAGAACATTCCAATAACTCTAGATATTACAGTGTACATGGTTTTACTTCAGACTAGACCTTTAAAGGGTATGTACATCATTGGCTTTTGCCGTAATTTTCAGAAATGAACTATTTAAGGGGTTAGTATAATAGGTCAAATATTGTTACACTGACATGTTTGAAGTTTTGTGTTCGAAAATGCTGGAAAAACCAAGAAAAACGAAAATGTTCAAGTAGTCTGGTTCTCTGACTTCACTAAGGATAAAATGGATCAATTTATAGATGTCGGAAAATTGTAAGGTAAGGGAACCAGTGTAGCTGGCCTGCACCCGTTCATGAACATGTTACCAATAGCAAACAAAATTTGGACTGAAAAAAAATGGTAAATTTGAAGCAGAAGTTGAAAAATAGTTAGGTTTTTCCAACAGTGATCGGCCGACCACTGTTGGAAATGTATACAAAAATACAAATTTCTTGAGAATGACTTCACACCAGGAGCCATAATTTTACAGGATGCTTTTGACTGTCATTTACCAACATCCAAGTAAGGTATTTCGTAAAAACTTGATAGTTTTTTTTTTTGATGTTTGCAAATGTTGTATATTCCCTTTAAGTGCAGAAAAACCATGCAAAACAAAATCAGGCCAACTTTACTCGCTCTTTAGCCAATAAAATTCTCAAAAAATTTCATGAGGCAAAGACAAGGTCCTCAGTATTCAACAATCAAGTTTGAGATCTCATTTTTTATTTAAAGGAGACTGAAACATTTTGCACCTGACAGTGAAGCCATGTGACTTCAATTTGAAGCCTAAGACTAGACTGGTACATGTCCAACTTTTTGAGAAGATTGACCCTTCAGTAGTCTGGTGGCATGACTATGGAAATGTGTAGAAATAGAGACTAGGAACCAGTTTCTCTTGACACATTTGATTGACTAAAGGGGTGCTGGACTGGTTGTTTCATGTGCCAGTCTATTTTCTTGTATTGCATGTTTTTGGACTATCTTAAGTTATGCAGTATTGACAGTCCACAATTTTCGGACTAGTTTTACTATATGATGTTTACGGAATTATTTTCTCACCTTCTCTGTCATTCGACTGAAGGAGTTATCAAAACAAAAGAGGTAATCTCCAGTTTCATGAGTGCCAAAGCTGGAACAAAATATACAAAGAATTTGCAAAATTAAACAAGCTCCCACAGTCAAATATAAAAAAAAAACGATTCAGGCAAAATTTAAAAAAAACTTGTTTAGCATCCCCGCCCGCTTCCTTTTTGGAGGCCGCCTCCTTTTTTGTGTTTTTTAAACCATGAACAAATGATAAATTGTAAACGGTGACATCATTTTGGCCTCTTCGTCTGTTGCTTCTAGCCTATACAAAGCTGGTATGTCATTCCTGAGTCCAAGTGGCAGCCATTTAAAAAAAAAAGCTGGCGGCCATCTTGAAAAAAAAAGCCCAGTCGGGAGGCCATTTTGGTAGGACAAAAAAAAAAGTGCCTCTTTTTTTTTTTAAAAAAGCAGGACGCTAAGGCCAAAAAAAAAAAGTCTCCGGTATCTGGTATGGAGCTTGCCCCAAAAGTGGTGCAGCGACGCGGCTTTTTTTTTTTTTTAACCTGTTTTTTTTTTTTTTAATGGCTTCAAATGTCGGCTGATGACTGCAAATGGTGCCCGACTAAACTTAGTGCAAATATATGGGAGTCCAGAGAGGCCACATAAAGCTTATTCTCGATCATAGCCCCATCTAAAAACACGTTAAAATTGTGCAGCAGCAGGATTCCAGTCAAACCAGTGAGTTTGGCGGTTTTGAGACATCATCTTGTATTGAAAAAAAAACTTTTTCATTTTGCCGACGCGCATGGCTACGGATACTTTTTGGGGGGGCCTAAACACGTTTTTTTCTTACTTGGCCTAACTTATAAAAAGGACAAGGGATTATTCTTTTCTCTCAGCTAATGTTGTCTTCTCTCTCCCCATGCTCTTGTTTTTTTTATCCAAATGAGGTGCTTACGTGTAAATTCCTTCTTGCTTGCGTGCTTCAGTGGCCAGCGCTTTATTCGTCGGTGATCTCAGTATAAAATTTATATCCATGTCTCCCCCTTCAATGACCTGCAAATAAAGTCAAAGACAAAAAGTGGTTTATTTTTCCAATATATTTAGATGGGCGCGGACATCTGGAAATATTTTTGGTAACACATAGCAACTGATGAAAACAGATGAACAGCCTGCCCCACCTATTCTAAAATTAAATGGCCTTCCACATCATGCCCCGACTTAGCCCCACTAGTGTGGCCGTCGGTATGCTGCGCTGAACCTAAGGCCACACACCATGGTCCGCGCACTACTGAGGACGTTTTCATAAAATTTGCAGGGAATTTCTTACATATGGTTGTATTCTACGATGTCCCATCTATCACTTCTGGGATGCTTAGGTGTAATGATGTTCAATTTTCCGAGATATTCTTGAATCTTTCTGGAGCCCATATGCACTCGTGAAACGTCCGGTGATGGCAGCCATTTTGAATGTGACAAGAGATGACCTCAAGCTGTGACGTCGCGTTTATGCAAATTGCTTGTTGAGCGAGGGCGCGAGTTGCAAATGTGACGGCTGTTTCCTGTGCCGTAGATCCTGAATAGAGATCGGTGCACGTGGCCCCCAGACGGATAAATACATGGTACAGGAAACAGCCGTCGCATTTGCAACTCGCGCCCTCGCTCAACAAGCAATTTGCATAAACGCGACGTCACAGCTTGAGGTCATCTCTTGTCACATTCAAAATCGCTGCCATCACCGGACGTTTCACGAGTGCATATGGGCTCCAGAAAGATTCAAGAATATCTCGGAAAATTGAACATCATTACACCTAAGCATCCCAGAAGTGATAGATGGGACATCATAGAATACAACCATATGTAAGAAATTCCCTGCAAATTTTATGAAAACGTCCTCAGTAGTGCGCGGACCATGGTGTGTGGCCTTAGGTTCAGCGCAGCATACCGTCGGCCACACTAGTGGGGCTAGCCCCGACTAACACAAAATCACTTCAGCCCAAAGACATGACAGAAAGCCAACAAGAATTTTGTTGTGTACAAATCAGAAATGTTCTTAAACTTTAGCTTCTTTAAAAGGGGGGAATTGGAATGTTTTCTGCCCCAAACATGCTGGTGCCAAATAAAAGGTGATCATGTAAGTACTAGGCCCTGTTCCCTGGAGAACAAAATTCATTCTTAATTTAGTTGACTAACTTGACTTCAAAACTAGTTGGGGGCATTAAGAGTAAGAATAAGCAGGTATGTAGAGCATGTAGCATATGTAGAGAGCAGGGTTTTGAATTTGTCAGGGAAATTTGGGGTAAAATTACGATGACAACAAAACATAACACGAAAATAAAAATGGTGATAACCACGATATACCGTGTACGAAGCACCAACATGCAACAGTAGTACGAAAATCCCAATTTCTAGTTTTCTACCCCCAAAAAACTGTTCAAAATTACAAACCATGTAAGCCTACAACAGAGCCTGCTTAGGCTTGAAAAATTCTTTTTTAATGATAAAAAACACCCTTGACTCTACTTTATATTTGATCAAACTAAAGAGGGGCCCTATACTACACGATCGCCAAATACATCATTGACATTGGCCGAACTCGCACGTTTATCTATTTATTTTTTGACACACACACACCTGAAATTCGAAATCCAAGGTTTTCTGTTCTTTGATGCGTTGATGAAAGCATTCTCTTCTGCCAGCCGGGACGACGACTGTTAAATCATGCTCTATACACCAACATGTCCCTAGGATACTTATTAAAAATACTGCAACAAAATATTGCAACATTTTAGGCGAAAATTCAATCATTTTCCCCCTCGATTGTGGAGAGACTTCCAACAAAATCGACGTGTACCTAATAAGACTGGCACCCAGACTTACATTTACTGTCTCATCTTTAGAAATAAATTTCCGAGGAACCAGACTGGACACTATTCGATAGGTGGCGCTGTTTATAATCCATGATTGAAACTTGCTCAGTTTACGAAATCATGACTTTGTCTCCAGCTGTGGCTCCCCTTCTGTCCAAATTAAGATTCATTAAAAACCGTGCCACTTTCAAACCCAATGAGAAATGTGCTTTTCTCTAAAGTAGAAAACGGACCATTATTAACAAGTGGCGTAAGGATGCAACATTCTTTCTTCGACAATTTTTCCACAATCGACTGAGTTACCCAAGTGCCATTTATTTTAACAACAGAACTTTCAGATAATTACTCCGAGTATGCATGTATTTCCACCACTCGTGCATTTCTGTTCATGTTTTAAGTTGAATACCTGAATTGTACAGAACAAAGAACATAATTACAAGTTTTGAGACATGTGTTTACATGCAGGAAGACAGAGATATCTTTATTCACCAAAGAGTCCAATTAATGCGATATCTTGTTGACAAGTACAAACCAATAATATAATGGTGTAAAACTGTGGCGAAAGTGCATTCATGCTCTAGCTTGGGCGTCAATCGGTGGGGGACTTTTTAAAGGGGGGTGGGGTGATATCATATCGTTTGGTCCCCCCCCCCCCACTTTTTTCGTCCCTAAATAAAACTTGTAGCCTATTGTAGCCTAAAGGTTATCGTTTGCTATCTTTTGCTCAAAAACATTTGTTCTATGTGGTCAGAAATTGCCTCAGATAGCACCACAGAGCGTCTAGAATCCAAAAAATGTAGTGGCCCTTAAGCGGGCCCCGAACCCCACGCCGTTAGGGCTTCGCGCTCGCATGAGTGCTCGTCAAGGTTAGTCCTCCCTCCTTTTGAGAAGCAATTGACGCCATTGCATTCATGAACTTTAAGTTTTTCTGTGAAGGGCCAAAACCCCAAGAAACACGAAATGTAGTTAATTTGAACGGACCGACTGTCAGTGTCGGAAATCTGGCGCGATCCATCTCACGATCGAGCTCATGACAAGTAAACAACCGACCCGAAAGTACAGGCAATTCGAAAATGAAGAAAACAGCGTCTAAAATCTACAGTTCCTTTCTTTCTTGAAGCACGACAAACTGTTTTAGCGTGACTGTAACACTCTGATTTTTTTAAACATCTTGTTTTAAAACAGAGGGTTTATGTTATTACATGTATCACCAAAAATCATTTTACAAGTCTGAATAATCTACTGCTTTTAAAGAAATCATAACTTTATGTAATAATAGAGGGAAATCTCGATAAGTCAAAACTCACAGAAACAGGTTCAAAATTTGACTTAAGCAGAGTTTTGAGTTAAAGCAGGGTTGTACATGTATATTATTGTTATACAAGTGAGGGGAATGGATTCTTAATTTGACTTAATAGTTGTTTTTAGTTATCAGAGTTTGACTTATCGAGATATCACCTAAGGTAGACTTTCTTAAGACTTTCAGTCCGTTTTTAATGGTTCTCAAGGTATTGGTACAAGCGAGCCAGCATGCGTTTTTCACGGAGGTCTTCGGGAATTTCCCCACTCCTTTCCTCTTCTGGGCGTGGCCGTTTGCCTTTAGGTGGGCGTGGCTTGCGGTCATCTTCCCCTTCCTCCTTCTCCTTTCTCCCCTCAGCATCCTCTCTCAACTCACGCTCGTCAAAGCCTTCAAGCTCATCTCCACTACCCTCTACTTCGCTGCCCTCTTCTGGGCGTGGCCGTTTGCCACCCTCTGGGGAGGATGGTCTGTTGCCTTTAGGTGGGCGTGGCTTGCGGTCATCTTCCCCTTCCTCCTTTTTCTTTCTACCCTCGGCATCCTCTCTCAACTCACGCTCGTCAAAGCCTTCAAGCTCATCTCCACTACCCTCTACTTCGCTGCCCTCTTCTGGGCGTGGCCGTTTGCCACCCTCTGGGGAGGATGGTCTGTTGCCTTTAGGTGGGCGTGGCTTGCGGTCATCTTCCCCTTCCTCCTTTTCCTTTCTACCCTCGGCATCCTCTCTCAACTCACGCTCGTCAAAGCCTTCAAGCTCATCTCCACTACCCTCTACTTCGCTGCCCTCTTCTGGGCGTGGCCGTTTGCCACCCTCTGGGGAAGGTGGCCTACTGTCTTTAGGTGGGCGTGGCTTGCGGTCATCTTCCCTTTCCTTCTTCTCCTTTCTACCCTCAGCATCCTCTTTCAACTCACGCTCAACAAAGCCATCAAGCTCATCTCCACTACCCTCCCCTTCTTTACCCTCTTTCTCCGCCCATTCCTTTTCCCACTTTTCCATCTCTTTCCCCCACTTTTCCATCTCCTTTTCCCACTTTTCTTCTCTGCTTCCGCCGTTCTTACCCTCCCCATCCCTTTTCAGTCCGCGCTCCCCAAGACGCTCAAGCATCTCATCCTCACTCAGCTCGTCTGGGAGATCTCCGCTTCCTTCTTCTGGGCGTGGCCGTTTGCCACCCTCTGGGGGAGGTGGTTTGTTCCCCTTAGGTGGGCGTGGCTTGCGCCCCTCTTCGTCTTCCTCTTTTTGTCCCCCTTTCCCTGCTTTTTCCTTTCTATCATCATAGTCCCCTCTCGGCCCGCCCTCCTCTAGATCGGTCTCAACCATTTCATCCTGATCCTCACTGCGCTCCTCTGGAGCAGATCCGCTGGCTCTCTTCTGCTCCTCCTCCTCCTCCTTTTCTCCTTTCCCCTCCTTTGGTTTGCGTCCATCTTGCTTGTCTTTCAATTGGCGTTCCTCTGGGGGTGGTGGTCCACTGTCCTCCGCCTCCTTTTCACCTTTCCCCTCCTTTGGTTTGCGTCCGTCTTGCTTGTCTTTCATTTGGCGTTCCTCTGGCTTTGGTGGTTTGCCGCCCTCTTGAGACTTGTCTCCTGGAAGTAAATATTAAAAAAATAGTAAAAGTAGATAGTAAAAAAGCCCCTCAAATTAATCGTTGAACTTTAAGAACAGTCCACCAAGTGTCTAGGACACATTTCTTCTCAAAGACATCTAAACCTCTGGCTTTTGACGAAGACAATCCTCTTGTAGAGTACTGCAAGTTTATCATATGACGAAATCCTCGAAAGTTGCAGTTATCCATCATGCAAAGCATCAAGCCCAAAGTGAACTTTAGCCCCCTATCCTCTTAAAGATTGTCTTTTCCCCACCGGATCTTACTGGCGAGTTCCTCAAAGCAACCTCAACCTGAACCAAGATTCGAAAGAGTTCCGTTTGGACTGAGGCATCGACCGATCAACATGAATGCCCCCAAAAGTTACTGTGTCATAATGCTTACCCTTTTCACCCTCAAGCTCGCCCAGTTTCTCCATCAACTCCTCCTTAAGGCCTGCCTCCTTCAACTCTTTCAACAGCAAGCGGCGCTCGTCATCTGAACGAAAAGAGGCAGCAAATTAATTGATGAGCAACATTATTTTATAGTCCACAACGGTGTTCTAGTTAAGGGAGCACTCACAATGCTATTTTGATGTTCAATGACGAACTTGTGAAAATAAAATGGTTTGACCGTCGAGTACAAACTGTCGTTCTAATGGGGAAAAAAACTAGCCAACTAGACTTGATTTTAGAACAGCAATGGGTCGGCGGAGAGTTTATAATTTTGACGTAAAATGGCTCTTAACCCTCTCACCTTCGAGCTCGGCCAGTTTCTCTAAGAGTTTCTCCTCTTGTTCAGCTTTCACCAACTCCTCCATCAGATCACGGATGTTGTCATCATCTTTGGTCGGTCTGGCCTGGCATCCTACCAAGAGGCAGACCACGCTTACCAGAAGGATCACCTTCATCATCCCGAGTGTTTTCTAGAGAGAGATAATTATGCCTACTATTAGAATATGAGTCGTAATTATGAACAAATACATTGACAAATTGGGGAACCACAAACATAGGGCTGGATAGCTCAGTTGGTAGAGCACCGGAACGGTAACACGGAAGTTGCAGGTTCAAACCCCGCTCCAGTCCATTCATTTGTTAAACTTTTCCATTTTTAATTATTTTTTTTAAATATGAGACACTTTAAAACTACTCCTGCGTGAAAGTGTCTTGATATGGAGGGAAGTCAGGTTGGCGCAGCGGCACTTTTCTCGCTCCACCGTTGTGACCCAGGTTCGAATCCCACCTGGGCCAATGTGTGGATTGGGGTTCCAGTCCATACCTAAAATAGTTAATTTAATCGAAAGTCACAATTTGTAGTGATTCTGTGGCAAATTAAGTTTGAAAATCATTATTGAACTATAGGTTAGACGGTTTTCCCCCAGATTATTCTTCTGGGGTTTTCCTTCTACACCTCTAAAACGGTAACTTCTTCTCATTGTCTTCTCTTTACAAGTTTCTTCAGGCTTTTGAGCTACAGTACCTAGGTCACTTTTGAGGAATCATTCGTTTCATTACCAGAAATAAATAAATAATTATGATAAAAATAAAAACAACGATATTTCTGTATGGTCGATCCAAATTCAGAAACTGTAGGCCTAACGCTCAAAACTATTGGTTGATAATTTTTTTACGCCAACTACTGCACACTGAAGATACGATAGCTTGTTTTAACCAATAGTAGCTCTAGTTGCAATTGGTAAGGACTAAGGTGGAGTTTAAGCAAGACAAATGTGGATATTTTTGAACGTGCAGTTCCGTCTAAACTGGTTCAATCGGATTGAACACTCAACTCACACGACTCACAAAAAAGGCGACTTTTGATTTGATTAACCTTTAGGAGATCTAATAAAGTTGATGAAATACTTGGCCTGTTTCTTACAGTTACAACTTTTTCTTTGGTGATGTGAAATGAATACAAACACATTAGACAACTACCATGTGGCATTACCAAACACGCCATAAACATACGGTTGTCATTTCAAGTTGCTTAATGATGTAATTGTAGCCGAATCTTGGTACACAAACACGCGCCGATGATATGCCAATATCAATTGGGGAAAATAATTGACGTTTATGAACGCTGCAAACTTATCAACTTTCTCCAGGCTGCACCGTGAACAAGTTGTACCTGTGACTGGTTTGCATTCCGTACATCTACGCATGCGCAAACACCATGTTAGTTTAAAATATGATTGGTACATGTACGCCTATGTGTTAGTTTGCAAATAAAAAAAACCCTGTGCAATGAGTAAAGCGAAACCGAACTGCCGTGACGAAAATGTTACCACAAGTACATATTTTTTTCTGGCCTCTCTGAGCGGTTTCAGATGTTGTTAACAACAATTGTTGCTCCAGTTGCACAAAACAGTAATGAGCAACAACAGGCGAAGCTTACAATGCTATACGCGTGAATTTCCCAAGCGAAATTTTGGATTATTTGAGGAAATGCCCACTGAATATTTCAAGTAATCTGGTGAAGAAAAACGAGGAAAATATACTAACTCTACAAAACAATACATTTCTTATAAGGATGGCGCGAAATGTTTACTAAATAACATCATCTTAATTTCCATACAACTGAAAAAAAAGAATGTTTTACAACTTCGAGTATTTAGAAATGGCAGTCCGGATAACAAAAAATATTTGCCCTTTGGTAAAACACTTTCGATTCCAATGATTTTTTTAATGAGGATAAGTTGGTCAACATAAAAAAAAACAGGTATATTCTGCTTTATATACAGGGTGTCTTTAAAAAACCGATCCCTTAAAGTGTCCTCTTTTTTCACAGCTTTAAACAAAAATGCATCGCAAACATCTATACATCTTTAGAGAGTATAGTAATTCATTAGCTTCTCAACAACGAAAACTCTTTCCAATTGGGTAAATATTGATTGATTTATGGGCAATTGAAAACAAGCGCCGCTCTTTCATTTTGTCCATGGCGACTGATATTTTGACTGCTGCAATAAAACCTGACCGAAACTTACATCTGTGGAAAAGGCTACCAAGTAGAGGGCAGAGACAAAGCAGCAAAGTAAACATCTAAGGAGTTAACCAAACAATCTTTTTCTGGACTACCTTTACTTCAAAAAGGATAAATGACCATTGTTGCAAAAAATTAAAAATAACAGAAACCAAATAAAGAAGGAAGGAATAAAACATTAAAGGAAGCAAAAGTGCCCTCCACCCCAAAGACATTTCATTTCTGACAAATGACAATTGAGACCGTGGACAGATTGAAAACTGGGCGCTTACTTTGAATTGGCCATAACTCAATAAATATAATCGGAAATATGTTTTCGATGTTGAAAAGCTACTGAACTATTCTCTCCTGTGTATGTTTCGGTGTTTGCGATGTAGTTTTTAAAAGCTGTAAAAAAGAAGGCGCTTTGAGGGTTCGTTTTTTAATACCCTGTAGTAATAATTTTATATGAAATGTAAGTGTTGTATCAAAATAACAAATTGCTATTGTACTTACCCGATGTCTTGAAAAAACGACGGAGAAACTGCTCTGTTCTCCCTGTCCAGCCAACAAGTGCTTGATTAACTCAAGACCCCAACGGGATCCCCTTTTTATTAGCTCTCCACTCCCCTAGCGAACCAAATCCTCAGCTCAAACTCAAACACTTTGTTTATTTACTAATTTTAAAATAGGGACAGGCTAAGCATATTTGGTTTGATCGTGTTTGGTACTTTGCCAAGGGGACACATTTTTGGGAGGTTTTGTTTTTAGTCGGTTTTTTTTTAAGCTTGGTTCGGATGACGTCAATGGACTCGTCGATTATCACAGAAGGGGATCTCTCATTTAGGTTGAAAGAACAACTTTAATAATTTCACTCAATAATTATGTGCAAATATCAGAATCTTAATCAGCATGATATAAATAATTCAGATCATATAGGTTTTGTTCACATGGGCAGCATTAACATTTGGATGTCTTCAAATGTATGATTCTCTCACCTTTGAATGAGTGGACTCGTCCATTCATATTTTTGTTATGAGTTGTCAGGTCTCAGGTGTCAGGGGTTTTAATGAGTAAACTAAATACTCCAAGCCACCTCGTGCCAGACATGTGATGCCTGAAAGGACTAAGACCCTGAAGTATGAGCATTTTGAGTGCAGTTTATAATTTGTAACCACAAATCAACATTCAAACATTCTAAGGAACTTATATTTTTATCTTAAAAAGTCCAATATCATTTTATTTGTAAGAAACTTTTGGGGACACATGTTCCCATGGGTCACTCAAATATACCGTGCATCGCCAGGGGCTCATCCTCTTCACCAGGGGCTCATTCTCTTCAACGAACCTCGTGGCATCCTTAAATCCTTGTTTAAACACACTGTGACAGCCCGTTCCTTAGAACCATAGAACAGGATGACACTATAACAGAGAAACAAGGGAGAACCACCGTTCAAATATTTGAAATGAGAAACAAGAGCTCAGCAACAAGTGTATATCGGTACCAGATGGAGATGGGACATCTGTGAGAGGATAAGAACATAACTGTAACTATGGGACGCAATAACAAGGAAACATAAAAAAGAACGTTCATTGTTCAAGTATAGAACTCCCAAACAAAACTTAGCAAACCTGTCCACGGTACCTGTTGGAGATGGGGACCAAGTTGGAAAGAAAAGACGACTCTTATTTCAAGGCAAGATTCGGAAGATAAGTTTAAACAGCAGATACGATGGTTTTAAGGTGAACTAATAATTGTCGGAATTTTTCATAACATTTAGTGGAAAAATAATATATTTAGTGCAAATCCATTGTAATCTCATTAACACACCCTGCAACAATGACAATGCAATGACAATAAGGTATTAATTTTTTTATCAGATTAAAAAGATAACGTACGAAGCTGTCGGGTTATAGTTAGGACCGTCAAGAATTATTCCAAACTATCAATAAAATGAATAATTATGTCCGGAGCCAGGATAATAGAGGTGTTTAATTATAATAAATCCATGATTGGAATGGTTGGAATTTGTCAGGAGTAAATTAAGATGGCTGTGAACATGCTGTCACATGACTGTCATGTACTTTTGACAGTTATTATAGCGTGCAATAAGGTGAAGTTTTAATTGCGGCCGTCGAAAATGTCTCGTTTTGCTGATGTATTGCTTTATTTTTGGCATTTTTTAGTCGATGGGTGATTTAAAATTACACAAATTGGAAAAAAAAATAGCGAAGCTGAACCTTGAACTTGAACCGGGAAATAAGTTTCATAAGACGAAGAGACATACATCCGGGTGGGGGTATATTATATCCCCCACTTTTTGACCAAGGGAAAGCTATTGGATCATCCCCATTTTTTTTTTAGCGGAGAGAATAAAATCAGTCGAATTGGGAGGTATTTTTCGAAATCCTAACAACCAAATTGTATTCAATAGCATGCAGTGACAAACGAGGGAAAGGGTATACGCGTAAGTATACGTACGCTGTACATTAATTTTGTACCATGCACAGCGCCCCTGGTGTAATGTGGTGGCCAGTTCCCCCACCCCACCCCCAGCTTTTCGAATTATTTTCCACGGCCGGGCAATTTTAAGATTTTGGTCATATGCCGCCCCTCCCCCAACTGCCCGGCACAAATTTACGCCACTGATACATTGATAAGAAGCATGTTCCCCGAAGCAATATCGATCAAGGCAGCGGGCATTCCTATCAATGTTTACCCGTGTACTGTGAGCAAAGCACGGCCGAGAAAAGGCCTACGGGCACGCCATTGTTCCCCTCCCCGTAAGAATCCCGATTCTGTATCAACATAATATGTTTGTCAACATCGGACAATCATCATGGACGATTCGTTTGAACACTTGAGATTTATTTTCTCTCCCTTCTATAGAAAACTTGGGTGTTTGCTTTAAGAATTTACCTTAAAGTTTCAAATGGAACATCGATTGAGGAGTGCGCACCTGGTCGTGGCTTGCACGAGAAGCGGACGACGGGGTTCAAATTAGAAGATGATTATGAGGGGGATAACAAAAAGTGGGAACCTTAAAACATCTTGAAAAAGCCCTCACATTAAAATTACATGAAAATAAAATTAGACCAAAACAACCCCACTTATACAAGAAAAGTGGACAAATAATTATACACAATATCTACACAAAATATACCGTATAAAGACAAGAAATTGGGCAAAAATACAAATGTAAAACAAGATGAAAGAATAAGCACATAAATAAAAATAAAAAAGAAGAAGTTAGTTTAGCCTAGAAGGGGAGCCAGTGCACATTAGACCTAGGCGAGTTAAAACATGCTCATGTACAAGTAATATTGGCCGGACGAAACCTGCTCTAACAGGGGGACTCCTCATTCCATCCCATCCCCGCTGGCCGTGCCGGGTATGGGTGCATGGTCCCCTTCTCGAATGCACCGATTGTACGGTATTTTGACTACCCCAGCATCGCCCCCCCCCCCAAAAAAAAGGGGGATGCATGGTACATTGGGTGCGTTCGTTTAGCTCACCCAGGTCGAAACGGGTCAGCCCCGTGTCCGGTTCGATTAGCTCTGACGTCATTCTCGGGGCTCACCCGGGTCAGCCGACACAGACCCTGCTCGTGGAGCAGAGTCACTGGTGGAAGTACGTCTCGCATGCGTTGTTCATTCCCTACAAACGGACAATGGCGGCCAGACAGCAGAAACTTCAAGTGGATTTAAAAGTTCACTTTTATTTGAAGTCTAAAGGTAAACATTGATTGAGTTCATTGCGACTTTTGAGGCTATAATTTCAGCCCAACTGTTTTAATTGACTAAAATGAAGTAAATCTCAATCTAAGACCCAATCCGAAACGGGCGTTTTGTCAGTGGCTACGGCCACGGCTAAGGGCGTCACGTGACGATCGTGATGGCCCGCGGTTGAGCGTTCAATTAGCCCGGCTGTCGTGGCTGACCCGTCTGCCTTTACCCGTGTCGACCCGGGTGAGCTAAACGAACGCACCCTTTAATTGCTCTAAAAGGTCTAAATTGGCTGGGGTGGTGTATGGGTACATGCATGGTGCTTGCTCTTCTCGAATGCACCAATTGTACGGAATTTTACCCATCACTACCCCCCCCCCCCAGCCCCCGACAAAAAACGGGAGTGCATAGATGCCGATATAGGTCGATGTGGCAATGAACATTTCAAATATTTAGAGGCCCACTTGAAACCTCTGTTCCTCGATCTTTTATCAGCTCTGTCCGACGTCATAAGTAGAAAGCGCCCTCTGGCAACCAAGCTTCACACCAGACATTGTGAAAAGAGGGCGCAGTACATGGTTACAAGTACGACGCGAAGCTTGTTCTAGTTCTCAGTGAAGGGTTTGAAAAAACTGAGGATTCTATCTCTAATGTCTGAGCTGTTTATAATTTGGCCTATATCATGAAAATGTGGATGAAATTCGATCCTAATTTTGCCTTTTTGTTTTCAAAGCGGACCGTGGCGAGATCTTTTTTGAAAATACCGCGCCAACTAGTTCAAGTATTCGGGGCCCATGCCATATACCAATTATCTCGGCACACACACATAATTTATGGGCATGCACATATGGGTGCCCTTAATGTGGCCCATTGGGACAGATACACATGGGCTTGCCCACATTTAGCCCGCATGGGTCCCATATCTGGGCAGATTACCACATTAAGCCAATATGGGGCCAATATGCCAAATATCTGGGCAGATGTACCCGGGCCGTTGCCAACATTTAGCCCGCATGTGGCCCATTATGCCAAATGTCTGGGTAGAAACATAATGGGATTGCCCATTTTAGCCCGCATGGGTCCCATTATGCCAAATATCTGGGCAGATGCATGGCTTGCCCACATTTAGCCAATTATGAGGCCCATATGCTAAATATCGGGAAGATGCATGTGGGATTAACACATTTAGCCCGTATGGGGCCCATATGCCAAATACATGTGCAGATGCATATGGGATTGCACACATTTAGCCCGTGTAGGGCCCATATGCAAAATCTGGGCAGATACATGCGAAATTGGTCATAGTTTCTCGTATGGGGCCTATATGCCAGATGCTGGGCTGATATTCAGCCCGTATGGGGCCCTCGTGTCAAATACCAGGGCAAACTGTGCATGCGAGATTGCCCATATTTAATTACTTATGGGGGCCATGTGCCAACTTTTTGAGCAGATGCATAACAACACCCATTATGGGTGTGATATGGGTAAAAAAAAACTGGGCATGTCATGGGCATTATTTACGAGTTGGCCATTTTTGTCGAATTCAAATGTTCCCTATCCCTGAATGCATTTCATTAGGAGTTAACTGAGGAATTAGTAGTAGAAAGTGAAGGAAAGAGGTAATATTTGTCTTGAATACTAGGACGTTTGGGAGGTAAGAGTTTTCCCCTCCGTTTTTTTCAAGTCAGGGAATTGTCGTCAATGTGACATGTCGCACACATTAATGCAGTACAGGACGGTCGCCAATCAAAGTACTGCAGCAGACTGCTAGTTTTGAACAGCGCCCCCACATGATTCACGTACGATGGTAGTGTGGCCGTGGTAGGAGGATAATGCAGAAATAATAAAGAAATAATAAATAAGTGGTTGTACGGAGTCAGACAATTTCTAATGAACTTGGAATGCAATCAAATATGAATTTCATTATGTCAAATAAAAAAAAATCAAAAATATAATTCGATCTTGCCAGGACTCGAACCTGGAATCCCCTGATCCGTAGTCAGATGCCTTATCCATTGGGCCACAAGACCGTTGAAGACATACTTGAAGCATTAGACTATTATTTTTGATTTGTAAATATCGACGTAATTTCCTTTTCAGAGACATAAGAAAAGCTCCCAAATCTTTCATAAATGTACATAAACAATTTCTGACCCGCAAAAAAGCTACCGAATGTAATGTCTCGCAAACCTTTCATATGATTTAATGATTTAATGCGCTTGAATACTTAATCATTGATTGGTTAGTTTTATCTCAAAGAATTTGGACACAATTTCATAGTAATACCACTAAATCAAATGTTGTGAGCTTATAATGGTGACAAATTTCGCCATCAATTTTTGCAATTTAAAAATTGAGTTTACTTTTACCAGGCATTTTTATTTAAAGCTGAAATTCATCACTTCAAATTGGTAAATTGGTGACGAGTCTAGCCAATCAGAACGGTTGTTACAAACATTCTGGAAAACACGGAAGTCGTTACAATTTCTGCTATCTCCGTACGTGCGCCAAATAATGATCAACCCGAATAGTCGGATACTGAGGATAAACGGTCCCGACATTCAATGACTTTGTAAAAAGAATGATAGATTTAAATGAATTTTAAATATAAAGACCAATTAAGTGTTTAAGAAAAAACAGGATTTTGCGGGGGAATTTCAATTTGGGCGTGGTTTATGCACGACTCAACTTGTTCCAATGTTCGCGATACGGATGTCCACATCGATGTATGTACACACCGCATGAAATCACTGGTGCCCGTGAGTTTAACTCTATTGATTTTTGATGCCGGATACCAACGGGAAAAGGAACGGCGAAATTTTTATGCGAGATTTCAGTGCAATGTTGCACATGAGTTCTGTTTGATTTCCTGATATGCTGATTTCATTTTCGAAAGTTGCAATCAAGAATCTGTGGCCGAGAGAGCATTGCCACCACGTAAGTAGACTTGCATTCCTTTCGGTTTTGGTTAAGCTTGTATAGCCTAACTAGTACAACCATGACAACCTTGCTACAGCCTAGCCCTAGTTGTTAATCAATGCAAATTTAAGGAGGATTTTGGAGGATTGAGGATGAATGGTGTTTAAGCACATGAGGATTTTGGAGGATTGAGAATGAATGGTGTTTGAAGATGAGGAGGATTTTGGAGGATTGAGATGAATGCATTTTGCGGCAGGACTGTCTGATGATTTGAAGGATTGAAGCGCTGGGTATCCTTCATTTGAACATGAGTGCACAATTTGGGATGAGGATTTTGGAGGATTGAGGATGAACGCATTTCGAGGCAGGACTGTCTAACGATTTTGAAAAATTTTGGCGTTGTTGCAAAATTTTGGAGGATTTTTTTAGGATTGATGATGGTAGCCAGCACATAGGGCCAAGTGCGTTAGGGTTACTGTTACAATGACAATATGTTTAAAATTTTGAAACACAAATTTGACTCTTTTTCTTTTCAATTGGTGGAAGGACATGAAGGATAAATTAAGAAATTTGAAATGAGATGTAACGTTACAGTTTAACACGTACATGTAATATAATGTTTGTGACTTCCTATTCCCAAGATGGGAATCAGACCAGTTTACAATTTAAGATTTTTTTCCCTTTTAAAAATTCCTCCAAAGCCACGAACCAGGAAAAGAAAAGGTAACACCCTGGCATACTTTTAATTTGGATGGAAAAAAAATATCAAAAATGTCGCTAGCCGGAAATTGAACCAGGGATTTCTCACTCATGTGATGCATGCGCTTATTGCGCTATTCATTCGGCCACAGGTGCTGTACTATCGATGGTGATAATTGAATGTTCTATAATGTTGGCCTACTCGTAAACGCGTCAAAGAGGGCGCTGTACAATCTAATAATATCCGGCTAAATATCCACTTTCTTCAACCCTAACGTACCTGAATCCATCAAAATCCTCACCCCTGTTTCGGGGGATTTTGGTGGATTCAGGATACCTCCATATTGCACAAACTGGGGGACTTTGATGGATTCAGGATTGTTAGCCTAGCAGAACTGCAGGATTTTGATGGATTCAGGATACCTCTATATTGAGCTGTTGGGGGACTTTGGGGGATTCAGGATCTCAACAGTTATTCCCACAAACTAGTGGATTCTGATGGACTCACTGGCCACCAACAATTTTTTGCATGGCAAAATTGATGGATTTTGGCGGATTCGGGATGCTTTCTAGTAGAAGAGACATTTTTCCTTTCCCTCCCCCCCCCCCCCCAAATTAAGAATATTCTTCTTGTATTATTTTAAATTAACTTCAACATTAAATTACAGAGTATAACTTTTCTTCTGATTCGTGGCACTGGAAGAGTTTTCTTAGAGAGAAATAAAGTCAGAAATTGTAAAATGGTCTGATTCCATTTCTCGTGAATACTAAGTTACAACGACAATGTTGGTTCGGAACAGACTACGGTTTGTCATGATCAAAATTTCTAGTATGTCCAAAAAACAAACCAGTCACTGCGCATTTTTAGTGCCTATCTGGCAAAATATTATTTACTAAAAGAAAGGGGGATTGGTTAAATATCCACTGCCTTAATTAATACACATAATTCTTGATGTAACATTAAGGTTAACCATTTTTGCACTTAACTGTTGTTTATTCACTGCAAATCCTTCAGAAGCATCTTGGTATGTACTGTAGTGCTCCATTCGTGACATTTACTCACTAGATAACGAAAGACAAAAAGTCAAGGTTAAGATTCTCGCTGATGGAACAATCCTGACATTGATCAGGGCATCAAATGTATGCTTCGTTACACTTGTTCCATACATTTTTGTACCAATAATAGAATGCTGATGTACAGTGAAATTATATTAAAAACCATGAACTCGCATGTAACTTAAAGGGGCATTACAACGCATTTTAACTTAAGCATATCAAAGTAGGATATATTCCACACAACCATCCTTTAAAAACTGGGCATTTTTGTGTTATCCTTGGGACAACCATAGTGTACTACACATTTTGACTCTCAAAAATCGAGCTGTTAATTACTAGTTGTGAATCCTGCTGCACATTTTCCAGCAGTACATTTGTACATAATTTGCATTCTGCGGACTTGCGAGACACAACATTTGGTGCTGTTAGGCAATGTTAGGCCATCAGCTTGGGGGTTTGGTGGGTATCACATGAGGGGAATAATGGTCATTGTGATTTTTGGCAAGGTATGCACCCCTATAGTTGGAAAATATGTGATAGCATTGCATCGGTGGCAGCTTTTTGGGTGCTATCACTGTTTTTTTTTTAAATGGCAGCCAAAAATGCTTGTTACCACATATAATTAATCCGAATCAAGCATATTGACAGCAATTTTGAAAGAAAATAAATAAAAGTGATAACACCCAAAAAACTACCACCACTCACACTACAAAGCTATCACACATTTTCCAATTCTACATGAGTATACCTTGCCAAAAATCACTATGGACATTGCTCTTTTTGATCATTTGATACCGGTGGCCCAATTTTTGGACCGAAGCTGATAGCCTACATGTATGTGTGTGCTCTTCAATGTGTTTCATGCAAGAATAGCCCATTAGTGAATTAAATGACTATACAGTCGAGTCTCGTTAATACAAACTCGTTCGGACCTAGCCAAATTGTTTGTTATATCAGAATTTTGTATTAAAAAGAACATCAGTTCCATTCATTGTGCACATAAATGCACATTCGGGACTAAGGCTTTATGTTTGTTATAACCAGAAGTTTGTATTAACAGAGTTTGTACTAACGAGATTCGACTGTACACATGTACAGGCAATAGGCTATATATGAACGTATACACTGTACATTCTACGTGCACTGGTACATGTTCGTAAACTTTGACTGCACCTTTAATTATACGAGCCCATCCTAAGGGACTATTTCTTAGTGCACACATTTGTTATTCCCATTCACAGTTACCTTTATACATATCTTGCATACTGGCCCGCCACACATGGCGTCCGCGCAGAAATAAACACAGCACACGCAGAACCCTGTACACATGTATAACACTGTAAAAAAAAAAAATTGATTAGAATTTCATTATTGCATCCAAGCGTGTGTGCTGTGATCCCGAGCTGGCAAAGTCTTGTATGGAACGGACCCAAGGGGGAGTTTAAGGCCTGTTATTTCTGGCGTTGTACAGTTCAAGTATCGGGCTGGTCGCGTCGAGTGCTTGTTAAAGTCAACAGACAAGAATCTTTTCTTTTTTTGGTGGGGGAGGGTGATTTTTAGGTCGTAATTCGGGACGAGTACGTAATTCATGGTAATCTGCTTACTCCTTGTACATGTAAGTTGTATAGTCTGGGATAAAAATTTAAAATTGCTTCTACATGTGTTTTGTTCATAAATTTTAAATACATGTACACGTAGGTCTAACAGATACGGTACCCTGTACTTGATATCCGGGTTTTCATTGAGTTTAAGAAAATGAAATCTACGTGTATGGTTTGATTTTTGATTTTTGGTTTGAGCATTTTAAGGGGTATGACAGCATCGTCGCTCAAATTTGAAATTTGACATGTGATAGCTCCACACCAAATATATAAAACTTTTCAAGACACAGTGACACACTAAGTCTATGCTTCTGTACTTTCAAAATTAATGATATGTAGCTCCATACTTTTTCTTCGAAGGAGAAATGAGTAAAAAAAATCATTCATTACAGTCTTGACCTAGATATAATCTTGAAGAGGATTACCTCAAATGATATCCATGGTCTGACCGCCAACTGATTTCAACTTGAAACCTCGCATGGATTTGTGAGTTATGCGTATCGGGTTTCCCCATCTGAATGTGATACTGACAGGAATCCCCAAGCACGGTCATTTATTGGTAAGCCTCTGAATAAATTGGAAAGGAATTGCTCTGGGTCGAGGTACAAAATGTATTTTTGTAAATTGAAATGGCAAGGTAGCGTACTGTGGATGTGCATTTGTTTATTCCAACAGCGAAATGTAGTTTCATCTGTACTTGAAAGCATTACATTCACTCAGTCTGCATTCACTGTGTGGACTTTCGAACAAAAGAGGTCACATAAACCAGGTAGCAGTGACGTTGTGTGGCAGCACGGTCATTTATTGGTAAGCCTCTGAATAAATTGGAAAGGAATTGCTCTTGGTCGAGGTACAAAATGTATTTTTGTAAATTGAAATGGCAAGGTAGCGTACCGTGGACGTGCATTTGTTTATTCCAACAGCAAAATGTAGTTTCATCTGTACTTGAAAGCATTACATTCACTGTGTGGACTTTCGAACAAAAGAGGTCACATAAACCAGGTAGCAGTGACATTGTGTGGACTTGCCCACGTCCACACAGTGTTTCCCCCTCTCTGGAAAAAAAAGCTTGAGAGGCATTTTTGGGTTAGGTTTATCGGTGGCAAAATGAAGAGAAACACTAAAGGGAATCGTAGAAAAAAAAATTTGATTGAAAGAGTTTTCAAATTGTGAGTAAAATGATTTTTTTCACAGGTTTTTCTTAACTACGCAAAAATAAAGGAATGTCCACAGTCCACACTACATACGTAACGTAAACATGTGTGTGGTATATGTGCATTTATGCCCTTGGGCTTGTAGCAGAACTCAACTGGGATACAGACTCATAACATTGTCCGTGTTCTGCCTGCAATGGCGTACGCGTGGCTAACAAATTTGTCCTCGACGGGCAAACTTGATTAGAACTCGCGAAGTATAAGCTCTGTGGTTCTCGAATCTGCAGCTGTATGCACTTGAAATTAGAGAGTTCATTCAACACATGCAATGCCTCGTGGGATTTGTATCCCTTCGCTGTTGGACTTAAGAATCGACCAATCAGCATTAATGATTTGAATACTCCAAATCCAAACCACCCAGATTCCTCCGAAGTCTGAAACTCCATTTGTAGTGTGTTAAGAACTGCACACTAGGGGCAAGGGCGGATCCAGGGGGGGGGGGGGGGGGGGGCAAACGGGGGCCAGGCCCCCTCCCCCCAAAAAACAATTATTATTTATTTATTTTTTTAAGTGGCATCGCAATAAAGGCAGGCACTGCGTACACCACCATCTTTTCCTCCAAAAGATTTGGTTAAAGTGATCAGAAATAGCCTCGGATCGCACCACAGAGCATCTAGAATCCAATCAATTTTGGGGCCCTTAAGCGGGCCCCGAACCCACGCTGTATTTTTGGGGACCCGCATTTTGGGGGACCCAAAATTTTGTTTGGCCCCCCCAAAAAATTGTGTTCTGGATCTGCCCTTGACTACGGCTTTGCATTTACGGGCAGTAAGGGAACCAGGTACCCACTTGAAAAAAAAAACGGGTACCCGGGTGTCCGTGAAAGAAACCCAACCCCAAAATTCCAATGTCGGAAGTTTCTGTTCAGATTGTTCATAAAATGATAAAGGTCGGTCCTTGCAATTATTCTACCACATCGGTGTGTCAATAAAGCAACTCATGTGTGTACAGTGAGCTTTATACATGTTTTAGCTTTGTGGTGGAAACTGCAATTTTCATGAGCGTTATCTGTTTTGTTTTATCCAGGTAGTCTGGTTTTTATTTTGATGACATTCAAAACCTTTCTTTTTCATTGTCTGTGAAGTTATTCAGATATTTGTAAAGTTGGTTACGGGTACCCGATCCCATAATCTGGAAACGGTTCCTGACATGCATTGGTCGGGTATTCGGGTACCCGATCCTGATGTTTTTGCACACATTTGTACTTTATAGGCTACATTACAAGGATTGTTGTGCCAGGTTTATGTGAAGCTCTGCAAATAATTCTGTGCCATCGGTTTAATTTACCCTGATTGTGCAGAAGTTTCCAAAAAACAAAAACAAACAGGAAGTTTTATGTGAAGCTCTGCAAATAATTTTGTGCCATCGGTTTAATTTACCGTGATTGTGCAGGAAAATTTTCCAAGAAAAAAACAAAACAGGAAGTTGTTAAGGTTATAAAAGGCTCAGTTTAATAGCATGCATGTTTGGGTAATGTACTACTGTACATACACTTAGAGTGTACTCAACAACTTAATTACATGTTAAATGCCAACAAATGTCTTCACAAATTCTTTGAGAACCATAAATTATTTTCTGACGTTCATGTTATATCATATATATTGAATATTTTGATTGGGTTCAAATTGGCAAAACTGTTATCAAACCAGTGAGTTACTGTACTTGGCCATTGTGAACTGTGTACACATTTGAACAATAAACTGTGACGTAAACAGTTTATACTAACATCCATTTCCGTCAACGCATGGGGAAAAGCTGGGTTAGCCAATAGCAGAAGGGTGCTTTCCCTGCCACACTCCAAAAAAAATAAAAAAATAGATTTCAAAAGCTTTGGTTATTGTTTGCAAAAGCCTTGAGTGGGCACTCGGTGGCATTTAACGAGGAAGGAACAACCAATTTATTTTTGTTGGAATTGTTCAACAGCCAAGTTGACTCCTCAGAAATGCGTTGGCACATTGGTATACAGGATTTCCTTTAAAAACGGGGTTTTTTTGCCAGCTTTTAATAACATTTGAACCATAATGTGTGTACTCTCCATCCTTCTTTGCGGTATGTTCAGAAAGTACAGTGCCGTTGTAAATTATGGACATACATGTAGATGAGTTTGTTGGTAATATGATGAATGTATTTTGTGGGGGCTGCAGTGCAATAGTTTTCTCCTATGCATTACACTAATGGCAATTTGATGAATCATCATGTCTCTCTGTTAGTGTTAGTAACAAACATTGGCATTGTCTATTTCTCCCACATATTTTGACCGATTTCAACCCAATGTGTCAAAAGTATTAGTAGCCCAGCCCCAACATGTCACATGACCAAACTGGGGGTCAAAGGTCATCATGGTGTCACTGGGGTCATAAAGCTGTTTTTTGTTTAAACTCAAAACAATACTTCCAGAAATAATATGGCACAGTCACATGACTCATGCAAAAACACGCAGCTTCCGAGAAATTGCAGTTACTTGAAAGAAAAGGGGACCCCTCTCTGACTCCCTATATATAAATTCACTATAAACATGATATTCATATAGGCCCCCCTGCAATTAATTTCAATTCCGACAGAAAGATTTTGACATTGCATTAAACATGTATATTTGTATTTCTAGAACCAGTGCATTCAACATGGTTCCACATATCTACAGTGTACGTTAAATTAACCCTAACTTCACCTAAAGCTATTGAGTAGTAAACCTGCAGTATGCATTTGATTTCTTTCCATACTAGTTCGATTTCCTTTTAAAAACTTGCATAGAAAATACTGCTATGCAATATTTTTTCAGAGCAATTCACAAAAAATTGTGTAGCAGATTTTTGTATAGCAATTCACATAATTTTTCAATTCACTAATCTTCATGCCATGAGTAGGGCCCCTAAAGTATACATCCCGGCCCTCGACACAAACAAAACATTAAGTATTTATTAAAACTTTGTTATACAAACTGTATTTAAAATCATGAAGTTGCATAATGTGAAACTGATTGATGACAAAGTTACCTGGGCAAGCTTTCTTGTCGTTAAGTAAGTGTTACCTACTGCTTCACCGTGTCGTTTTTCCAGCTCTGCGATGTCCTCAAACAAGGTGAACGGCTTCTCCTTCTTAGCGATATACACAATGTCCATAAGTTGTTCGATTCTTAGCAAGTCCTCCTCGTCCACTTCCTTGAAACTTCTCCCAACTGGCGTGCAAGAAATCTCCCCGAATGTACCAGGCTTCCCGAGAAGATCCAGGGCGCGTTGATGATACTCTGCCTTGTTGTGATGATGGAGGAATCCTCCTTGCTGTGATTGACCACATTATCTTTCTTGATTACACCTGTTACCCCGTCAATAAAACTACGGCTGTAGTTCCTAAAGTATTTTCTCCTGTCCTCATATTTCCTGCACACAATGCATTTAATATACCTTTCCGACTTAACCACTAAAATCAGTTTTATAAGAAAGCCACTAATTATTCGTATCGACGACGTTCTCCTCAGTCGGCCAGCCATCTTGAAAGTTTTAATCCTGTAGTGTAGGATTCACATCAGTTAAAAACACAATGTTTACCGTTCCCACGTGTTGAGCATTCCATTCCCATCACATGGGGGAGGGGAAAAAAGTTCAGGGAAAATTCC